TCAAATCGACTTCACTATAAGTGAAATCGATGTGTCTCGCCGCGCCATTCACGAATCCGTCCGTATTTTTGCGCTACGACCCATAGGAAGCGAGAAAATCGAGTTTTTCTAAATCGCAGCAGTCCCGCTGTCAGAGGGACCAATCGACTGGGTCAATTTTATTTTCTGGAAAATTAATATTTTTCAATTTTAGTGAATACCTCCACGATTTTCATGCTCCCCTGATACTTTTCGAAAAATTTCGAAATTTCAAATTTCAGTGAGTACCTCCTCCTTTTTCATGCTCCCCTGTTACTTTTTTGAAAATTTGTAATTTTTAAATTTCAGTGAATACCTCCTCGATTTCCATGCTCCCCTGATACTTTCCGAAAAATTTCGAATTTTCAATTTTCAGTGAATACCGCCTCCATTTTCATGCTCCCCTGATACCCTTTCAGAAATTTCGAATTTTTACATTTCAGTGAATACCTCCTTGATTTTCATGTTCTCCTGATATTTTTAAAAAATTTCGAATTGTTACAGTCCAGTGAATACCTTCTCTATTTTCATGTTCCCCTGATACATTTTTGAAAATTTAAAATTTTTGAATTTCAATGAATACCTCCTCAATTTTCATGCTCCCCTGATACATTTTTGAAAATTAAAAATTTTTCAATTTCAGTAGGTACCTCCTCAATTTTCATGCTCCCCTGATACATTTTTGAAAATTTAAAATTGTTCAATTCCACTGAATACCTCCTCCATTTTCATGCTCCCCTGATACATTTTTGAAAATTTAGAATTTTTCAATTCCAGTGAACTTTGAATTTTAAATTTAACATTTTAAAGTTTGAATTGTGAATTTTGACTTTGGAATTTGAATTTTTAATTGGACTTGAAAAATTGAAGATCTACAATTCAAAATTTTATGCAAAAAATTGAAAATAATTTGAGGTCCAGATGAAAAACTTTATCTTCCTGGAAATTTGAGAAAAATCGTTTTCCCGAGGTTCTCATGGAAATCATCGCTTGCAGCTACATAAGCATGGGTACTTATGCTCTAGTAAAAATATACAGACGCGTTAGTATACACATTTTTAAGTTGATAAAAAAAAATATAAACAAAATATTCCACATACATTCGAAGACATTAATTTTTCCTGGTGAATTCGCCTCGAGGGCCTGTACATATGTATATAATCAGTGACTGAATCTGTGAAGAACAATACGAAGGAATAACAACAACAACAACAATAACACGTCGTAGATTAAAGGTTGTGATATTTTTCAGTCTCTTTTCCTGAATAATCTCTTCATGTTTTCAAATTGAACATTTAATCTAGGTCTAATTTTTCTTTATTAAATAAATATTCACTTACATATTGTACAAAATCAACAATAAAATAGGTTAAACCAGGAAATATTATATTACATTCTTAAAACGTCAGGAACCTCGATTCCCATTCGTGAGACGAATGACAATAAAAAAATATTCAATTTCGAAATGATATCATTGATAACACGTTGATTTTACTTCCAGATAATACAGCATGGTCTGCGAAAAATGCGAGAAGAAATTGGGGAAAGTGATAACACCAGATCCTTGGAAATCAGGTGCTCGAAATACAGTGGAGAGTGGTGGACGTAAAGTAGGAGAAAACAAAGCTTTATCAGCATCAAAAAATCGTTTCAACCCTTACACAGCGAAATTCGAAATCTGCAAAATATGCAGGCAAAAAGTGCACCAGGTTGGTTCCCACTACTGCCAATCGTGTGCCTACAAAAAAGCTATCTGCGCCATGTGTGGAAAAAAACTAATGAACACTAAGAATTACAAACAATCTGCAACATAGTACAATTTATTCATCGCAATTACTCCATAACTAAATGAATATTCATTAATTGTAATGAACGAAAATTTATTTTCCTTTATCATATATATTATTGCTACGTACAATGCAACAACTAATCACTAGATTAAGGAGTAAAAATAAAATTTACAATATCTTGTGAAAAACTATTATATCAGAAAATTTATCTCCATTGTCCATTCATATTTTCTGCTCTTTCTGTTTTTATAAAATAATTCACTATACGAATACGCAACTAGTCTCATTAATGTGCAATTAGTCCAATTTATACATTTTGAGTATTATGTACATCTCTATCGTTAAGACTCGGTTCTTTTATTTAAAAAGATACAAAGTTATCTGATCATTAGAATATTTCCTCGGCACCAACATTTCACATACTTTTTAAAGAAATATACAGATTACTGTCAATTACAATAACAATTATTTTCATCGATTGAGGGTCGGCTGCTAACTTAATTAAATAAGTCCCCAATTAATGGTCTATTAATCCTTAATGCTTTCATATAAAAAAAGAATTCAATCCAACAATTTAAATATTCAACAATTTTTTACAGAAAAAAAATAGTTTCTTAATATCAAAAAAGAAAATGTTTTATCGACTCAAAAATTCATTTTCGAGCATCGAGACACTTTTAGTCTGTGTTGACATAATCAGCCGGAAGTGGAACATAAATCAACAGTTTTGCAACTTGTTTCTTATTGTTTTATGTTTTTAGAATATATCTAAGTGTTTTGACTATTTTCTTCGTTATTTTTATCTGATTTCAATCGTTCTTGCGACTCAGTGCAATAACGCGACTGAATTCCCCGGAAGAGTGCAATTAAATTCCCAACAATTTCTTCAACATCCTTAGAAAGCGATTGCCATTTCAATACATTTTGTCCCTCTTCCAAATTCCTTCTATGGCACACAGCTCTCTACTAATACTTACATTTACCATATCACGATATTTCGATTTTTTCGGACTCAAGACAACATAACGGCTCAATATCTCCTCTCCATACATAACAACATTAGAAACTCAACATTAAAAAAAAATGTAATCAAGACTGCAATAGATTCCTGTCTATTTAATCCCTCAAATGAGAAAATTCAACATTATCCCTCCAACAAAACAGTAAACAATTGAATTTTTATCGATTTCATTTTTTCGCTCTATCTCACGATAGAAGCAAGATACCGAAATTTTTGTTCCTACAATTTTTAAAGAGGAAGATCACAGCTACAAAAAAGGTATCAATGAAAATCTCGCTGTCCCCCTCTGATTCCGAGATATCAGCGAAGATATGGGTTCGAAAAAAATGCACTTATAATTCACTATTTCGCAGGAGAGTTCCCCCAGAAGAAAAAAAAAGAAACAGATGATTATTCGTCTTATTTAAATACTTTCTCCTCCCCAGAAGATACTACAATATTAGTAACAGGCTGGGGTTGATTCGACCCGTTCCCCCAAGAATTTTGATCCTTATTATTGTCCCCTAGAAAAATCCAGTGCTCAAATTTTTTATTTCCCGACGATTTATCGATATTTTCACTCGTCTCATTCTGATTCATCTCCGGGGACTTGAACTCTGACACATAAACAACTTGATTCTCAGTCGATATGACCTTAGTGCTCTTGGAGGCGTCATTTCGTCTTGGAGGAACAGGTGGTTTTTTTCCAGGAGTTGGTTTTCCATTGGAGGTGATGGTCACTTGACCCCTGGGTGGTTTTGGATGAATTTCGCTGACTTCTGGGAGATTATCCCTGTTGTCTCGTGGCAAGACTTTGATCTCGGTGATATAAGTCAGCTTTTTGGATGATTCCTGAGACGATGGGGCTGGTGTATTGGGTAGTGGAGGTCTTGAGTCAGCATTGAACTCTCCAGATTCCCCAACGAGTCCACTGTCCTCACTCGAGACACTGATGTTGCTGACATTATGCTGATCCTCTGGGGAGAATCGCTTGATGGTAACGTGTGGTACTTCAAGCCCACACCCATCATCATCATCATCATCATCAGGACTCTCGATCTGCCTCTCAATATCAATTATTCCAGTGGGAGTGATTTCCCTCTGCAACTTGACCTCCAATTCCTCACTATTTCCATTACTTCTCGAGTGAATTTCACACTGTCTGCCATGATGGCCATCCCCTTCGCAAAAAGGACACCTCCGATTCACCGTCGTCTTCCTCATAGGCTCCTCTTCAACCTGTTTCATCCCCAAATACACGTCCTCTCCTCCATTAACATCCCCATCAGTTTTCCCTTCATCCTTATCATCCAATCGACTCTGAAGATTGAAAAATCTTAAAGCTTTGTCAAAAGACTCAACAGCTGACGTATCAACACCCTCTGAGGCCATTGGCCTAGCTTGTCTAAAATCCAACTCGATCTGTTCAGGCGTTGGACTCTTCAGAATTCGTCCATTATTAACGATTCGTGCCAGGGAATTGTCCTCATCAGGATTGAACATCCTCTCAGTATGAATAAAATCTCTAGTTAAACGTTTACTCAGAGGGAGATTGTACAGTTCGACACTGCAGTCGTCAGATTTATCCTCACACCTGTCAGGATCTGAAATCGTTTGATTATCCTCCTTTAGTTTAATTTCAACAGCTGACTTGGATCTTTCTAACGTTCCACTGCTCTTCTTTCTGGCCTTTGGTTTTACGATCTGATTACTCTCGTGACTGGTATCCGTTTTTTTCCAGAGGGCGTCCTCCAGAGTGCCCCATTCACTCGATTTTTTTAATTTCCTTCTATCAAATGTGTCGATGTCATCGAGCTTTGTTAAGTCTTCATTAAACTCTGCAATATCTTCAGGTGGAAGAGGGGCTTTTCGTTTTTTCGAGGCTGTGGAATCAGCCATGTCGAGGCTCTGGGCTCTCTCCAGTGTTGTCGAACTTTTGGCTTCGTATTTCGATAAATCTCCGAGGCTCGCTGCTTTTCTGTAGACATCGTCCTCATCCTCATCTTCATTATCGTTCTCATTCTCACAGGCTCTTGGCACTGGGGTGTGATGAATCGTTATGTCTGATGGATTCAACTCAATCGTTGTGAAACTGTGATGCATCTCAGAGTCGGTGTCTGACTCTGAATTCCTTCTCTCCGAATGATCATCAACTCGAGACAATTGTCCCTCTGACTCCATCTCAGTCTCGCTCTCCACTTTTTCAACGTAACTGGTTAATGATTCCGTGTAATCTGTGATCGTTTCAATTCTGTTTTCAATCTCTGGGTCATTTTTCTTCTCAATTTTTTCATCTTTGATTGGAGATGAATGAGGTGGAGCTGGTGCTTTTCGTTTATTCTTCTGTGGGCTCTTGCGATCTTCCTGATCACAATACTCTGTCTTGATTGGACTCAACAGTTCTGCGCTGTTCTTTCGATTTCTCCTCGCTGCCATCGCTGCATTATGCACCTCAGCAGGTACTTCCGACGGAATCATATCACCCTGATCGTTGCTGTCTGTAAAATCTCCACAATCATCAACGCTCCTGGCCTCTCGTTGACGCAAACGCTCCATCACCTTCACCGTTGGAATTGGAGTTGACGATAATATCTCACAGGGCACTGTCTTTATCTCCACGTCCAATTTCTTCCTCGAGTGCTTTCGCTCTAAATTCGTGTTGTGCTCGTTCTGATTCTCAATCCTGTGGACTGTACCGTCTAGGGCTGGCAGCACTTTAATCCCAAATTTCTGGTGGTGATTGTTGACTTTTACTTGATCATGCTTTCGCTCCAGTGTTTGACTGCCTGGAGTCGATTTTGAGGACTTGATCGTCGAGTTGAAGGAGTCGTTGGTGTCAGCTATGAACAGGCGTTTTGCTGATGACTTGTGCGCCATTGATAATTCTGGAATTGATTGGCTTCGGTATAACGGATGGTATATTCGCGTTGGACTTGGACCAATTGTCTTCTTCAGGAGTGTTGTGGGTCGAGAGCCACTTCCACCACTTTCTACCTCCAGTTCAACCTCGTAGGGAGAGGCGTAACTCAGGATTGTTAGGGCGTCCTCGTAGACCATGCTTCTGAAACTTATTTTCACACTTGCTATCCTATCGCCTGCAACAGATTAAATATTTATATAAAAATTCGATGATTCGTCTTGATGTAAAATCGATATAAATCTCACATAAAATCGATTGATTTTATGTAAAGTATCATTTCATTTTTTGCGATTCAAATTTTCCTCCAAATTTTGCATGTAATCTTCTGTTTTTATTTCCATTTTTTCAATTTTCTGAATTAATTATTAATTTAAATATTATTAAAAAAAATTATGTGTTTTTCTGTCGTCATTGTTTTTGGTGGATTTAAATTTTTATTCGATTGAAAAGTTATAGTCCTTCTTTAACATGGCAATTGCGGGATAATTATCAGCAATGCGGAATAGGATTGTTAGAACAATTATATTGAGAGGAAATTGATACACTCCAGTAATCCGAGCGACCGATATGGCTAATGGGGTGGTGGATGCATAATTAGGTCTCAGTTTTAATTGAGATACTGTGAGAAAATAAATAATTTCTGGCAATTAAATTTACAGGGGCCAAACCAGTTTGAGGCAGGAAGTTGAGGAAATTGGAGAGAAACTTCTCGTACGGAGATAAATTATTACTTTAAAATTCTTAAAACGAATAATCAGTGTTGAAAATTGATTGAAAACATCATTTAAATACCCAGAAAATAATTTTCCTAATCAACTCGTAATTGTCGTGATAAATATTCTGGAAAGATGTTGAAAGAAAAAGTTTTGCTGCTAATAAATTAAAGGCCTTGGATTATTGGCAACATTTTATTGTCCCCTTTTCACTAGTGGTCTCTCCTTAAAGGGATATTTTATAGAGACATTTTAGGCATTTAGCTCACGCAAGTACTTGGAAGAAATAATTTTCCTTCTCGGTGTAATAAATCAGGAGGAAATCGTATGAGAATTTGACCAACTGACCTGGATTTATCCGACCGGATTCCGAGGCTGGACCACGATGCAGAAGATCTTTGACGAAAATTCCTTCCCTCATGTTGCCGCAGACATTAAAACCAAGTCCTGTGAAGTCTCGACTGCGAAGGCTTACAACACTCACTCGCGTTGCCTTTGACTGGAATAATTTACTCATTAATTAAATTGAAATTAAATTGAAAGAATAAAAAAGGCAAGTTTTTCTGGAATATCCGGGTACCAAGGAGAGTCAGCGAAATTATTATAGGGAACTTTTTGAAGCTCTCATTTTCCTCTTCAGAATAAACTCTACAAAAAATTTCGGTATCTCCCTTAGATTCCGAGACATTCGTCAAAAACATATCGATTATTAATTGATGAATTGATTTTACCATTCCAAGACAAGAATCATCGAGTGTCCGTCGTCTCTTGTCGTATTTATTCCCGGAGCCTATTCCCAATCCTGAGAAAGGTGTTGACCATTTTGTTGTATCTTTAATTGGTGTCTCCACAGATGCAACAGACATTGGTCTCTCCATACTCCTAGTTTGCGCTGGAGTTGCGTCTTTGAAGCAGGGATTATCGAATGCATAAGCATCCTCAACAATCTCAGGATCTGTCACCAGCACCAGATGCTTTCCTGCAATGACACATTACCGCATCAGTAAATTCATTCATGAAACCATGAGTCATCATTGGATTATTACGACGTGCATTGTTATCGTCAATTGACACTATTGACTCCTGTGTGATTAAATTTAATTGTAACTCATGATTGATTCCTCAGTACGGAAGGTTGAGATCAATTTATAACATTGGCCTCTATGACATGAAAAAATCACTGGCACGTCAACGGAAAATAATTCAATTGTAAACAACAAATTTTTATTTTTATTCAAAATTAATTATAGGATTTTCGTAATTGATGGAAGGGAATAATCAATTCGTTGTTATTTTACGTCATGTTTTTTTCTTCTTTTTGAAACGCAAATCAATTTCTGTCTCAGTCATTCGAATGTCGGACCGACAATTCCATATTAAGGAGCACTTCTTGTCCTAATAAGGACAGGAAGGAAGTACATTGTTCATTGGCATGCATCCCCGCTATAGAAGCTCAATCAATTAAGTCATTCGATTGACAGAATTGTCTAGTATAATTTTAAATAAAACCCACCTTCGGAGTTTTGAAAATGGCGGTTCCTCCACCTCGCGTTTTCAAATAATTATAGAAATTGTTTATCATTCCGAAATCACTCTCAACTAGGTTTATTCTGTTCCTGAAGACTGAACAATTTTCTGAAGCCATCTTCCAGGTATTTCCGCTCTCTTCTCGCAGAGAATTTGTCGATCAATTTTTTTATAATTTATTTTTATTTTCTTTATTATTATTATTTCTATTTATTTTTTTTATTTGAAATAATTACATAAATCCCTCTCGTTCACTACTAAAAAATCTTCGGATTGTTCCACTTCTTCGTAAATACGCCGTAAAATGTGACACAACAAATTCGGCAAGTGGCAATTTTTCTGAACCAAAATTCGCAACATAAGAGAATCATTTTACATTCTCATATGATACTTGAAGTGCAAGTGAGACTCAATGAGGAATTTGGTGTGCGTATTAATTCATGGCCACGCTCTCTGTAATTTACGTGGATAAATTAAAGATGAGAAGCGAGAAAATCCGGGTAAACTTGATAAATCGTCACTGAATAAAAAAAGAAGAATTTATCAGACCCTTCAGTCATATTTTTCTACAATCATCCTTCCAGTATGCAACAAACGTACTCACGCTCGTGCCAAATAGACTTGAACACGATTTGAATGAGTGATTCATTTCCAACTCTTGACAAAAAAAAAACATTCAGGAATAAATGCAGAGGATGCACCCAATTACCTCAGCCATTGAAAAAATGATAAATCATGAGTATAATTAACCTGCACCCACCGACCTGTTGCATGCACGAAGAAGAAGCAGAAAAAAAATTCGACTTGAACTGAAGAAAAAAATGTAAGATGAATTATAATTTTCGACAAAAAAGGGCAGCAAGGATGAGAGTACAAAATTATACAAAAAATATTTTCATGAAATAATCTCCTGAGGAACATCAATGATGATAATTCCTCATCTTCGGAGGAATATTCTTCGCTCCTTGAGAGATTTGCACTTCGAGTGAAGAATTAGAACGTTAAAACACTAAAATTCTATTTTTATACGAAAGAATCTGCGTCGAATAACATTCATCAAAACAACGATATTTTCCAGTCGGTGTGGATTTTTCTGAGGATGAAGGAGATTCGAGGTGACTACGCCTCTGAGGATGACGCCAATGGACGCATACCATGAACGCCAAGGTGAGCTGGCTCACGTTTCCCTCTCTTTCAGGCCTCTTTTTCTTTTTTTTTCCCTCTTTTACATGTATCTTCCTCTATTCTGCCTCTGTAAAATCTCCAGTCGATATTCTTAAGACGTCATCCATTTCGGCACTCATTATTACTCTAGGAACATCAAAAACAATTCGCTCACGATTTTCATTGACGATTTTTCAGGCTCTTGCATCACCATGGCATCTAAATCGGTGGAGTATTGATGTCGATTTTACTGGAATTGCTTTTAAAGTAGAATGATCTACTGAGGACATCAACAGGTCTATCTCCATGAAGATCATAAAAAAAAGCGAGTGCAGAGGTCCATGATGATCAATTGATTGCTGGGGATTAATCCTGTTGGATCATTTCTATTTTTTGGAATTTGAGGTAATTTGAGGTGCGGAGTTTTGGAGGCCAAGGACCGGAATTCATCGGAATTCATCGGATTTTTGAAGTTAATTTATTTTTTCATGAATTGCCTTGCGATTTTAGGGGATTACCAGAGTTCATGGGATTTTTAGAAGTTATTAGGATTTGCTAACGGAAATGGAAATCAGTTCCAGTGATCGCACGTCATTTCTTCCTTATTTCCCATCGAGTGGTTCAGTGATTTCCTCAGGGACCCGCCCTCAGGAATTCTTAAGCTGGAATGGCACACCCTCGGGTTTTATTTGAAAATAATAGTGTGTTATGTGCACGTAATGCTAGAGTAGCTCAAAGAATTTTTAAGAAACCATCTCATTGGCATTGAAAAACTATTTGTTATTGCATGAAATTAATTTACCCACTAATCATTCATCTGCTACAGAAAAAGCTAAATTCAAATTTAATTTCATCGTTCATCAATCTTTATCTCAATAATCATAATAGAAATTCCATTAGATAATTTTGTAAATTTCTTTTGAAACAATAAATAATTGTAAATATTTATTTAGGATAGTGAGGAAGTGTGAAGGAAGAGAATGAACTTAGGTGTGTAATAGGGAAGCGTCAATTATGCAAAAATTCAAGGTGCGGTTGTTGGCGAAGGAAAATATGTATTGGCGATGGAAAATATGTGTTTAATGTATATTATCAAGTGGGAAAGGGGTTTATTGCTGAGCAGTTACGCGATATCGTGGATGACTGGAGATGACTAGATTATTTTCTCTGCAATGTTGAACGATTCTCTACGTTCTTATTCATTTGGAGGTGGAATTTCGATCGAAGATGGTGCAATCATTCTAGCTTCTCAATAGTCAATCTAAAAGCAGCTTCAACTGCAAATTAATTCCCACGTATTCAGTACTAATATAAAAGGCATAACACCATTTCTCATTCTCTGGGGACTGGAATTTTAAGAAGTTGAAGAGTAAAAAAAACTTGTGTTGTAAAAATGAAAAGAGAATCCCACACAATTATATTTTAACAAATATCATTGTAATCAATTTTTAATAGTAGTAATAGCGATTGAAACCTTTTTTATCGAAATTATAGACTAGTTGTATTTAAATGATTGACAGAATATGATTTTTCCACAATTTTCTCATGCGATTGAGAGAAAATTTCGTTTTGCGAAAATATTTAAAGCATTCGAGATAAGACTACTCTAATTCTTCCACGTCACATCGTGGATCGGTATTTTTTTAAATAACGAGTGTGATAACTTGGATAACAATTCCACTCGATAAGATCCTCAGGCGATATCATATCCGTAATATTGAACTCGTATGTCATTGAGCAAATACGAAACAATGTATCCGACTGATTGTGAATTAGCCGGGAAAGTGTGACACGTACTATTTACCATTTGTTTTCTTTATTATTATTTTAGTAAATAAATCGAGTGTCTAGAAATTACTCGCACCTCCACGCAGGAAGAAAGCGTGGGACAACGACTCACGCAAATTCTCATTCCATTTATGCGTTCTACATTTCATATGTGAACCTCAAATTTATAAACAATTAAATGTAGGCGAATGGCCGAAGAATTGAACCGCCGGAACAAAAAAATTAGAAGAAAGGGGTCATTCAATGGAAATTAAAAATCATTGACAAATTAAATTAAACTGGCAATTACATATTTATATATTTTATTCTACTGAGAGAAATAACGACTTGAGAGAAGAAAATAATTTCTCATAAGAATTTTTCTTTCTCCGTGACGTCGCGACACTTCACTCTAAAGCTCATTAAAGTTCCATTATTTATTCATTTGAAAAAGGGAAAGTTTGGATCTTGAGGAGAAGTCAATGGATTTTTCATTTCTCTTAAATTCTTGAATTGCCATTTTTTTTCAAATTTTCAATGATCCGATGCAAAATAAAGAAAATTCAGTGGAAAAATTGAATAATTTGTGCTCAATTATTTATATAGGAAAACTTTTCCCTTTTCATGGGAATCAGTGCGGAATATTTTTTAAATAGAATTTCAACATAAATTTTTGCAGAAATCCCATGGAATTTCAATGAAATTTTTTCATATGTGCGGCGTAAAATGAATGAAAATGCCTAAAAGCCGTCAACAATCCGGTATTTGAGGTTCGTGATACAATCAGGTCTGGCTACCTGTTATGATAAAGAGAGAGGAAAAGTGAGATAAAATGTCTCGTAAGTGAAACTTCTGAGACATTCCGACGAGTGCAAGAGACTTCTCATTTCGGCGATGAACAGATGAATAATCCAACGAAAATAATTTTCCACTAAATAAAAATGTTAAATCAATAAATTCTCAAATAACCGTCCGAATAATTCCCATAATTTTGTAAACAAAAATGAATAATAGTTTCCAACCGATAATTAATTACCAGAAAAAGAAATAATTCTCAGATCTGTAATAGTTGTGTGTAAAATTTTTATTGTCCAATGAATTTTTATTGAAAAATTGATATTACCCAGTAAAAATTCGTCAATATTAAAAAATGATGCAAAATTATATTTCTGCCGACCCCTCAATGAATGCCGCAAAGAGAATCAGAAAAAAGAGAATTTCTGATGGCGGAAAATTGCTTCATTTAGGGCTCAGCAAAGCTCGCCGATTTTCCGCAATTTATCAGTAAATTACCGTTGTTACAGCAATATTAATCATATTTATAGTAAAATATACCATGACGCAGTAAAAAAATGGAGTAGTCTGGAAGAAATGAGATTTAATTTTTCGATGCGTGCACGATAGATTATTAAATTCCCAATCCATATTTCTTTAATTCGCGTACTAATTGTTCGTCATCATTAATTCATTAGATTATGATATAATTTTTTAAATATCAAATGATAAAGAAAATGAAAGAAACCGAAAATGTTGTATTCAGGAATAATTTGCGATTCCAACCGATTTCTCTGATTTGTTAATGAGAAATATTTAGCGAACTTTAATAAAGTTATTAAAAATATTATAGTTATTATATTTTCTCAAACAAGTGATACGTTAAGTAGATGTCAAAGATGTTAAGTAAATGTTCAAAGATGATATGACAAAAATTCATTTATAGATGGAATGAAATACCGACTGACGAATCCGCGCTCATTTCATCGAAAAAAAATCATTTCAATTTCAATCATTTCAAGGGTCATTTTTCCTGGACTCTTCGTCTTCTTTTTTCGTCTTTTCGCAACATCTAAATTCCTTCAGAGCCGATACACTACGCGATTACTAAACGTCAGAGTAAATTTACCTATAAATTTTTCACCGTGCAACTCCACGCATTAACATCACCGGAGCATTGAAATATCTCATGAACATGAAGTCTCAAATATCTCATTTTTCCCCTGATTCCGTATGTTCTGCAGAATGTACACTGCAAACACCGAGAAAATACCACACGAAGAGAATTTACGCTGAATAAACCGTTTTCTATAAATGACCAAAAAAGAATTTTTCTCGTTGAAAAATTGCACTGAACACCGATAAAAATAATTACGTTTACCACGTAAATTCGCGAGAACAAAAAAATTCATTACTATTGTCATAACTTTAAGATATTAAAATAAACATTGTGGCATAATCATTAATTTTTAATAGTGTGATTACTCATGCCGGGGACTTTGAAATTCCAACGAAACAATTATGTTTATTAGTTCTTCCATCAGGATGAATACAAAAAAATGTAGAATTTTTTGTTCTGAGGAAAAAACAAAAAACAATTGTTTATTACATTAAAAAATGATAATATATCAACGAATTTATCAATTTATTGTTTTTTCTCTAGACAAATATAAAAATACTGGGATTTTTCGGTTTCAAAATGAAAACAATTCCATAAAAATAAACAAATTATAAGTATATAATAGATTTGTTTATATATATATTTAAAGTAATTAAACAAATAGAATTCAGATAAATATGGAGATTTATCTCTCTCTTAATTCTCAGACAGAGATCGGAGAGTTCGAAATTCCAAGGAAAAAAAAGTTTTTTTTGGCGAATGAAGAATTATCCGAGAATTTGTTGGTTTTTCTCTGGGTGTACATAGAGTACATAATGGATATGGGATATATAGGCCCCCCGGAGGTGCATACCTGCTGCATACCAACCCCCACTAGCTATCGGAAACTCCAACAACTTGGGTGCAACAACTTGGGGCCCGCACAACCAATGGCTTTTAACAAATCCAAGTGAACACTTTCTAAAGGCCTTCAACCGATTTCCCCCAGGTATTTTTACCTGACTATGTGCACATGGAGGATGATGGCTCTAAGAGCCCTCCCCTAATTATTCAATTGTACATTCTTCTCGTTCCTCGTAATACTCCCGGAAAAAATAGATTTGAAAAATTACGGGTATCGGGTGTACGTCAGGTTTTCAGATGAAATAAAAAATGTGAACGAAAACAAAAGGACGGATTCTCATTCACAAGGCTGATGACGCGCTTTTGTGTGCTCTCAGATAAACCAGATTTTTTTCTTCTCGTATTATATGTTTACGTACGTATTTTTTTATGGCCGGGAATCGTAACAGGTGTTAAATCACGCGGTTCTATCGTCATTCAAATCATTTCTTTATTTTTGGAGATTCTTTCATTTCGGGTCGATGAGATTCGGGAGTTTTTTAGCAGCTGCATGGAAATTCTATAATTTCATTGGAAAGTCAAGTAGATTACAGATTTTTTGAAGAGTTCAAATGAAAAATAATGGGATAACCGATTTTTCAGACAGGTCATCTGAAATTTTTGAAAGATTGAAACTAAAAATTTTGATGGAAAATTTAAATGAAAACGTTAGAGTAAATTCAAGTGGAGACATGAGAAGCTAATGGACTTACGTATTACCCAGTCATAGAATATCACAAATTCCATAGGCAATTTCACTTTTCCAACTTGGGAAATGCAACGACATTTTTGTCATTTCTCTTTTTATCGTAATAGACTCACGAGAGTTGGTATTCACTAGGGAAAAGCATTCAGAAATAAATGGGCGTCCGGTCATGTGGAAATTTTGGTAATTTGAAGAATAAAGAAAAAATCGGTGGAATAACGAATAGAATGCACGGTAGATTGGCCATCATTTCGCTGAATGCATTCTCGATGGGAGGATAAATAAAAGAATGATCATGCCGAAGGTGCATCAGACCGAGACGCTTCGTAATACGTATTTTCAACAAAAACATAATCCAATACCAAATCAATAAATTCAAACATGTATGCATTTTTCAATAATCTGAAACGTGACTGGAGCTGTGGAATCGGACTTAAATCAGTTTCAATTTGTTTTTTTTTGTTTCTTTCTGCCATTTTCTGAGGAAAATCTATTTTCCGCTACGACGCAATAAGTGTCAATGCCAAATGTACATCAATCATCTGAATCGTTAGTGCATACAAGAAAATAATTACTCTTGCTTAATTTTTTAAATCGCTAATCATAAGAAAGACCACAAAATTCTGATAGAAAATAAATTCCATCAACTCACAATCGATTTCCAGATTATTTACATATTTACAGTAAATTTCAACTATAGTGGATTTTGGTGGCAGAATTTTTTTACAATGGAGAGATGAATTAGGGGAGTTGGCACGATTTGACGAATCGTTACCGATTTTTTCATTTTTCTCACGTTCCCTTTGGGTTGAAATATTATTTTTTCAATGGAACCTACCCTTGTGTCGGCGCCATTGCCTGTAGAGGAAAGCTGCAATCGTCAGGAGTAATACTGTCGCCAAAAATGTACCGATCACAGCTCCTGCGATGCTACCTGGTCCATAGCACTCAGAATCCTGACCGGTTTCGTCCATTTTTTTTTCTTCTAATCTCAATTTCTCTTCTCTTCTGTTATTCAGGCATTCGCCCAATTGACATATTCACGGTTGTTTTATCTTCCCACGATTTAATGACACCTTTCACCATACCGATTTTCATCGAGGGAATTGCAATGGGGGCGATTCATTTTTGCAGATCGATATCAATTTTGATGATGGGGGAAGGATTTGTTGATGCTACGGGATTTTCACTGGGGGATTCAACGATTTTATGTGACAACTGTGACACCTTACGACGTACTGACTGCATGGGCTCGATCGGAACGAGAAACAGGTACGAGTTGTTCCGCAACAGGTGCTCCTTTCGGTTTGAACTACTTGGGTGATTCCACCATGAGACACAACGTGGCGCACCTAAACATCCTCACCATCTGTTTTTTTATTTACAAAAGTTTAAAAATTTGTTTAATCAAAAAATCGCATTTCATTCCCAGAAACGATCGAGTTTTGTGATTATAAAAACTAAAAGTATTTTACTTCCTGCAATTTTTTAAAAGTTAATTTTTTTATTTGTTTATTTATGACTGGACTATTCTGAAAAAATTAAATTTGTTGAATATTCATTGATAATGTGGGTAATTATTGATTTTATGAGGAAATATCAAAAAGCTTTTTTTATCCTTATCACGAGGTAATCTCCATGTTGATCTCCAGAATTATGCAATGTAATTAATCAATGAAGTGCTCGAGAAGTGAAATGTGATTTAAAATTCCCGCCCATGACCAGCTGGAAGACCGTACGAAAATAGAAAATAATAATGCCGACAATGAAAACAAGTGCCCGGCTTGTTTCTCTGACAGCAACCTGTCAACTTCATCAGTTGTTTTAGCATTTATTTCGAAATCATGAGATAACTATTGATTTAAACAATCATGGGATTTTTCGAAGACACTTTTATCATTCTCGTGACACAGGTCTGTCGAATTAATTATCACTCCTACTAAATACAATCCTTCTACTGTATTTTAACCTCCCCTTCATAAAATCTATTTAAATTCCCGATTGAAATCGCAAAACGACGAATTCCCCATTATTCTTATCGTCTCTCTTATAATTACTTAATTAATGATGACTAGTTTTATTCACATATCTTAATTATTGTTATTTTCATTCTCCCTTGATCTGTTCGTTTCTTTCCCGAATTTCGGGAAGAGTTGTGTTTCATTTTTTTCATTTATTTTCCGCAGGTTCTATTTTTTCTAGGGGCATGGGTTTTTTTCGTGAAGAAATTATTTCGAGATTACGAGGTGCATCACAGACTAGTTCAGTTGATATTCTCGTCAACATTTGCCTTGTCCTGCACAATGTTCGAGTTAATAATCTTCGAAATCGCAGGGATTCTAGACTCTAGGTAAAACAAATGTGAATAATTAATACCTGAAGCCGTAAAAATACAAATTTTTACCAACAGCTCCAGATATTTCCATTGGAATATGGGACTCTACATGCTGCTATTTATGGTTATTGTACTGATACCATTTTACATCGCATATTTTATCATAAGTAACATTGGATTTGGTAAGACTCAAATATTAAAATGCTGCAACAGTCCTAGGAATAAAATTGATGCAGTAATAACAATACAAAATTTGTACACTTGAATCAAATTTGAACCTTGAAAAGATGTCAATTTTATTGCAAGAATTGTCTCAGAAGATATTCAAAAAATAGCTGTGGAATTTTGAGGTGTAAATCTCGATGAATGAAAAATATTTATTTATTTCCAGTCCGAAAAAATTTGGTTCGTCCTCTGACAATTTTAATTTATCTCTTCTACCTGTATTTATTCTGGAAAGTCGGCGATCCCTTTCCAATATTGAGCCCTAAAAAGGGTTTATTATCAATTGAACAAGGAGTGAGTAGAATCGGTGTAATAGGAGTGACAGTGATGGCTCTATTATCTGGATTCGGTGCTGTCAATTACCCTTACTCATCGATGGCATATTTTATGAGGCCAGTGTCATACGCAGATCTTCAGGCAATCGAGAGGAGACTTCTTCAAACTATGGACATGATTGTTGCTAAGAAAAAGAGAATAGCACTCGCTAAAAAAGGTGATGCTGTTTCTCATTCAGATAATCGTTCGAGACTCTGGGGAATGCTGTCACCATTAACGAGCTCCAAAGGGCATCAAGAAAGTGTGTATTTATTATTTAAATTTTCACATCACTCGTTAATACTCTGGAAATTATTTCTAGATATTAAACAACTGCAGTCTGAGGTCTCAGGCCTTGAGGAATTATCGCGCCAGCTGTTCCTGGAGACCCACGACATTCAGAATGCCAGAGAAAGATTGGAGTGGGCAGCCACGTGGCAAGGGAAATATTTCAATTTCCTGGGGTACTTTTTCTCCATCTATTGCACGTGGAAAATCGTTATTGTAAGTTCTCGGAATTCTCACACTCTTCGTTAATTCGCCTTAATTATTATTTTTAGATTGACAGGCAATTACGGATTACTATTAATTAGTGATATTATTTTAATAACAGTCGACGATAAATATAGTTTTTGATCGAGTTGGAAAGAAAGATCCTGTGACTCGGGGGATAGAAATAGCAGTTCACTGGATTGGATTCAACATCGACGTGACCTTCTGGTCACAACATATTTCCTTTTTCCTCGTTGGATGCATTGTCGTTACGTCAATTCGTGGTCTCCTCCTTACACTGACGAAGGTATAAATCAATTCAGTACTAAAGTGCAAAAATGAGAAGACATATTTTCCATAATTACCGATTTATCTTGCAAACTATCGGCTTAATGTGAAAACATCGTTTGCCTTTTTTTGTAGCTTATCTGACATTTTCTTCTACAGTTGATAGCTTTCGAGAACAATCGATAGATATCACTGGATTTTTTATTAATGAAAGATAAAAATCATGTGTTTATCAATATATTTATAATGGCAACAGCTTAAAGTTACAGAGTATTTCTATTGATCATATTTATCAATTTTGCGTTTCAGTTTTTTTACGCCATATCCAGCAGCAAGTCTTCCAACATTATAGTGATGATACTTGCCCAGATTATGGTAATAACAAATGTTATCCTCACCTGTTTATAATTTCACATATCATGGGGTGAATTTTATTAATTTCAATTCTTTCAGGGAATGTACTTTGTATCTTCAGTTCTACTGATGCGAATGAACATGCCAGCCGAGTACAGAATAATAATAACTCAAGTACTCGGTGATCTTCAGTTCAATTTCTATCATCGATGGTTCGACGTTATATTTTTAGTATCAGCACTTTCATCAATTGTCTTTCTCTATTTAGCACACAAACAAGCACCAACTGAGCGTTGATGAATATTAAAATTTCCATTGTTTATCTATTTATTGGTCTTTTAGTTTCATTTCGTTGATGAAAAATCTTCTCACAACTGCCATTCAAAAATCCTTAGTAAGATAATCTACTTTTCGTAGAAAGTAAAAATGAAAAATTATGGAAAAAAAATTCAACACGTAATATAACTCGGCCATTATAGCAAACTGAAGATTTAGCGCTGCAGAAAAACACATTCTAAAATTGAATTGATTACATTGAAATTAATTGATGAGTTCAATGGACCACTCTTCACCCATATTTACACTTGGTTTACGTAACGTCAGTACGTTGTTATTGGTGTTGTATTTGGCCTCCAAACTGACAGTTCCCAGACCTGTTAAAAATTGATAATTAATAAAAAATATATTTTACGCAATAAAAAAAATGAATATGTGAAAAATGATGAATATTTCTAAAAAAGATCTTTTGAATTTTTCAAATTTTTCAAGCTAAGAAAAAAATATAAAGAAAATAAAAATAAAATCCACTCACTCTGTGAAGTAAGTTTCGCAGACTTGACTCCCTTCGGTGGATTGGCAATATCAACTCTCTCCAGCCAACTGGCAGTTTCAAAGTTGGCAAGCTTATCAATATACTGGCTCTTTAGTATTTTACCATCGAAATTGAGTCTCAAATAGACATATTTCCCATGGCGATACTCAAAGCTCGACTCATCGTCTATATAAATTTTTCCACTGGCCTTGCCATCACCATCAGCAATGACAACAAGTGTGTAAGGATCATTTTTCATAGCAACAGTACTCCTTCTGATTCTCATTTTCCTGGGAACAATGGTGCCACTCTTCTGATAGACTGGAATTTTATGCAGAGTAACAGGAATTCTATTAGCCCCAGGTGTTTTGTGCTCCTGCATGGTATCAACGTCATACCAAACATCCTTCCCCTCCCCAGGGAAATAAACTGTCACCTCAGTAACAGAAGGTTCAAAAACAGGTCTAACAAGAATAGCTTCACCCACAAGCTGATGATCATCGATAGTAAACGTGGCAGTCTCCGTGGGATAATGAGCCCAAAGTGGTCTCATAACTGGATAACCAGTGATTTCGTGCTCCCTAAAAAGCGTATACCAATAAGGCAAATAAGAGTAACGTATTCTGATAGTATCCCTGACGATCTGCGTGGTCTCATCATTGAATGTCCATGGCTCTCTGCGTTTGCTCTCCATGTGGCAATGCTGCCTGAAGAAAGATTGCCAAGCCCCAGCCTGATTCCACCTGATAAACATCTCAGCATCAGGATTCTTGAAGAAACCACCAATATCAGCCCCACAAAATGACATTCCAGCAATTCCAGCAGACAGACACATGGGGTAACTGATTCTCAAGTGTGACCACTCAGCAGCATTATCACCGGTCCAAACAGCAGCTGACCTCTGGGACCCAGCAAAATGTCCCCTCGTCAGGACAAATGGTCTCAAAGTGCCCCCTGATCTCTTGTAGAGTGCATCATAAGTCACTTGTGTATACATCATGCAATTGAGATTGTGAACATCTCGATGCTCCCATCCACCATAATGAACCAAATCCTTGGGCATCGTGATCTCAGGACCATTGAAAACACTCGGTTCATTCATGTCATTCCAGATGTAAACGTCATTGGTTGTCCCGTGAAATTTATCAAGGGCGTATTGACCACCGAAGTATTCTCTCACTTTGGGATCGAAAAAGTCGAGATAGGAAGAGGCACCTGGCCAACACCAGCCCTCATAGTCCTTGCCATCAGCATGCTTGACGTAATAACCATTGGCAGTTGCTTCATTGTGAATATAATATGAATCGTCTCGTTTGATGTGAGGATCTATGATGGTCACTAATTTTCGTCCCTTGCTGGTCAAGTTCTCAACCATCTCCAGGGGATTTGGGAATTTTCTCGGGTCCCAGATAAAGTATTTTTTACCGTCAGTCCACTCTATGTCCAGCCACATCACATCCATTGGAATATCGTAAAAGTCGAATTTCTCAACAACTTGTGCCACGTCTTGTTCGTCATTGTAATTCCATCTGGACTGATGGTAACCCAAAGCGAACATCTGGGGAAGAGGACTTGTTCCTGTGAGAATTGTATACTGCCTGAAGGCGTCCAGGGGTTTGGGCCCCAGCAAAAAGAATACATCGATTACACCCGATTCTGACATGAAGTGGGCATTGACCTGGGGTTCTTTCACATTTCTGGAGACAAAATTGACAATGCTCTCGACCACGTTGTTGTCAGCACTTGAGAGAATGTCGACCCACGTTTCGGCAGCATTGTGCCAGAATACTCCACTGGTTCTGTCCTTTCCATGGGCGTAGAGAACTGGAATTGACCCGTACAGGGCCATTTTCTCGTTCGTCTCGTACTCGAAGACATCCAGATTGTAGAGACGATACGGATCTGTTCCTTTGGTTGATCGCAAGGCGAATGGATCAGCGTGCTGAGGTATTCCATAAGCGTGCTCAGCACCAGGAAAACTGAAGTCCAGAGCTATCGCCTCGGGTCCATATGGCTTAGAATCCTGGTGCGATTTGAAATTTTCCTCCCATGCACCTGGATCGTTATCAGCACCATCTCCTGGATATTCAGGGGCTGGTGATCCCTGGCCATCCTCTGGACTCTCACTTTTGCTCTCAGAATTGACAGGCTTTGTTCGCAGGTGCTCAAATCTCATGAGGCCCCTGGCATTTGCCGAGATCACTAGCTGATTATCTGAGTACACATCAACTCTGAATGGAGAGAATTGGAGAACAGCTTTGTTCGTACCACTTGTCACTGTCACATGATCTGGGGTATTTTCTGTTATTGACAGCTCAGCCTGTTGTGGATGATTTTGGAGTGCATCTTGCACCTCGTAACGCTCGTGGAGAGGATTCTTTTCGTTAATGTGTAATCGTAAGGTACTCTCCTTCAGGGCTGTCAGTTGCAAGACAAAAGTCACTCCTGTGTCCTTGTTGAAGACCTCTGCATAAAGAGTCGAACCATTTTGAGTTACTGTTTTGGGGAGAACACTGTAGGGAGTTTTTCCAACTTCGACCTGACGACATCGTCTGAATTTTGAGGAATTTGTGGTTAAATTAAATGAAAAAATGGGACGAGGATAATTATTTACCTGCAGAAACTACTCTGCTCGCAGGTCTTGAAGTTGCTTCTATCAACGGCGTTGACAAAGACTGTCAGACAGAGGAGCAAAACTCCCACTCTAGAGAAGATAGTAAATAAATTATACATTCATAGATATGTATGCATTGTTGTAGCGATGATTAAATAGCCACACAGCCGTTGGAATATTTCACAAATAATTTAATTGCATATTAACGTGTTGATAATTCAATGATAACACGTCATGCAGTTGCTGATAATCATTCAACCCCTGAAGATTGTCAAATAATTTTTCACTTAGAGAATAATTAACAATGTATTGAATTAAACGATTATTTTCAATTATCGACTAATCGAATTGTCTCCTGGGATATTTGATTGAAATTGAAATAACTTGCGGGATTTGAATTAGCCGTTAATCATTCGCTTACCTCATGCACGAAGACATGTCTGCTGATGCGATGAAACACCGTGTCGACCTCCTATTAGTCAACAAGAGCTCGGCATCCACCATTTTGCATTGTTGATATCATGTAATTCCATAGTGTACGACTATTTCCGGCAGCACCTGTTGTTCGAGAAACGACCCGCTCAAATTCAAAGCCAATGAACAGGAAATAAAAAGGAAGAGAAAATAAAATAACAATTTTAGGACGACTCATGATTTTCTGACACCTTATTTTAGACGTTCGTTTTCTGGATGGTTTTTTTTATATACAATATTATATAATTGACCTTCGATTTCTTCAAGGTATTCATTAACCATTTATTTTGGAATTTCGACGCGCATTTCCTGCTTTTTTTTCACAATACAAGATTTTATTTAATTGGCTCTCCATTTTTTGAATTCTTAGTAAGTCTCGTCTTTCAGATTTTTAGTGATAATTATTGCACTCCATTTTCTGAAAATTTACATTATCAGGTATCGAATTGAATTGATTCGTGTCATTAATTTGGAGTTACTATTAAAAAACAATCAGTACCATCACTCATACAGAGTCAATAATGAAAAGAAACGAAAGAAAAACTCAAACCTGCATTGTACTCTAATTTAATTTATTCACAAGTCGTGATAATGTCGATAATAATCGTGAAAATATAATGTGTGTCTAAACGGAAATGAAGTTCCACTCCTACAAGTTTAAATATTGATAACTATAATCTATAAAATATATATCAGTTTCTCAATGTTCTGTAAATACAATGTAAATTTTGAAGTGGATGTACAGATGAGGTAGGTGATGAGTTTCATTTCGAAACGTGAAGCATCCAGTGCATTCTCTCTTTTAAGATAACATTGGATTGAATTTGTGATCAATCGAGGGTAAATTCATGGCCTTCCGAATGCACTCGAAACAGTCGTGATCCCGACGTCCGTCTTCCTCCGAATTTCTCCCCTGTTTCTCATACTTTATGAGTAATGACTCCAAAGCCTCGTCACTGTGTCCATACTTGACAATTCTTCTGATCTCCCGAGATAAAATCGACGAATACTCTTGCGACGTCCGAGAGGTGTTGTACGCCTTCTGCTCGGAAAATTTCATCAGACTCATGAGAAGCTGATACTTATCGTCAGTAATCCCTTGAGAATTTGTACTCAAATACGACGTAATACCGCAAAGACCTTGATCTATCTGACGCTTCCGGAATTCCGAGGTTAAAGAATTTTGAAAATCCATTATAAATCTCAATTAAAATAATTCAATCTGATCCTCTTACTCGATTCCCTGAAGAAGCTGCTCGTTCATTTCCTCATTTATTATTCAAACAATGCAGTCCAAGCACTTGTCATTATCACATAATTGTCTGTACAACTTCTGCAAAACTCCAGCTTTTTTTGGCACAGGTTATCAATGAATCAATCTACCAGGGGTTCCTCCAGATTACTTTTCGGAGATGTTGATGTACTCATCGGGACATTATCTAAGGTATCTAGTCACTGAGTAATCGGTTTAAATGCCAGACCACTGCTCAATGACAAAATTGAGGGTGTATCAGTGGCTAGGATTATAAATGATATTATGATTTTTTTAATGGATAAGATTCGTCACCATTTCTCGTACACGTCAGTATATAATTCAAGTGGGGCGTCATATAAACCCTTTAAACCCAACGAAACGGTATCCATTGGATCAGCTGATAGATCACGGCTCGCAGGGAATCGTAGAAACGTAGTGATTCAAATAACCTCGTACCCATTAAAATCATCTTATATTATAGTTATCACTCCACGAGAGGGATGGCGCTCTACCCGTTTTTCATTATAATTTTATTATTTAATTTATTTAATAATTAAAAAACGCCGGGACGTTGATGGAATTCCCGTTTTCTGAATCTTAAAAAATGAATTCGCGAATGTTTTATGAGAATGATAATTGATGCTTCGATAGTTACTCTTACCTGAATTGACTAAATTCAGTAAGATCGATTTGAGTCTATATGAGTCGATTTAGTCGACTTGAATTAATATCGAATATCGAGATTATCGCAGTTTCAAGTTGAGTATTTTCAGGTGCACATGGGCTACATCAGCTGATTTTGAAACGTAACAAAATAACGCAAGCACTTGAGCTGACGGGAGCGAAAAAATAAGTTATTTAATAATATGAGAATGAGAATGAGAATAACAAAGTAAAATATCTATAAATAAACGTAAGTTTACAGAAGTGTGAATTTTCTTTACCGGTTCTATGTCGTCAAAGGTAAGTGCTCGATTCATCTAATCAAGTTTATTAATACATGTAAATAATTACCTTCAATACCGGTTTTTAAGGTTAAAAATTGAATTCTAATAGTAAATTAATTCCACTTGGGTAGATTGAAGAATGAAAAGTTGCAAGGATTTCATCACTACCCGCCACATCCATACGTGTAATACCCTTCTGAAGACAATACCGAGCAACCTGAAGGGCAAGAGCTCTAGCTCCCAGAGATGGTTAGTCCGACAAATTCAGGATCCGTTTGTGGAGAAGGCGCGACAGGAGAATTGGCGTTGTAGAAGTGCATTTAAACTCCTAGAGATTAATGAAAGATTTAATATTCTCGCACCGGGGATGACAGTTGTTGACTGTGGAGCTGCACCTGGAAGTTGGACCCAAGTTGCAGTGAAGGCAACGAATTCCCATGGCAAAGACAAAGAAAAAAGGATTGGAAAAGTGTTGGCTATTGATAGAAATCCGATTCATCCTGTGGAGGGTGCAATTGTTCTGGGGAATCTAGATTTTACGACTGATAGAGGACAGAAACGACTGTTGGAGACTCTGAATGGTGCCAGAGTGGATGTAGTACTGTCTGATATGGCTCCCAATGCCTCAGGCATTAGAGACATTGATCATGAATTAATCACGGATCTCGCTTACTCCGCACTCACGTTCTCTGTTCAATTTTTAAATCCTGACGGTTGTTTTATTGTGAAGTTGTGGGATGGCCGAAGAGCTCCACAATTTGAAAAAGATGCAGAGAGATTTTATAAAACTATTAAAATTGTTAAGCCTATTGCCACCAGAGACGAATCCACTGAGAAATTTATTTTGGCTAGAGGTTTCAAGGGCCTTAAAACGTGATTGTGATTCATTTCATTTATATTAAATGAATCCCGAATTATGTACAGACAATTATTAATTGAAACAATTATGATATTTCATGTAATCGATTTTTTAATAACAATAATACGTTCATGAAAAAATGGTGAAATATTTTGGTATATAATTCTACCAATTATTGATAACCCATTCGGTATTTGTATTTTCATAGTTTTGATTTTTTAAATCTTAACTTCAATTAATAAAAAAGTAATGACTGATTTTCTATTCGTTTAAGGCCCGGTTGGATTATCTGGAATAGATGATTTACTCCAAAATTGGCACACCTAATTACTCCATCAATTAATCGATTTTTCCGATAATTGTTAGCTAGCGCTCTAGTTGTTGACAACGGCACTAGCTAACAATTATTGGAAAAAACTATTAATTTCCGGAGTAACTAGGAGTCCAAATTTCGGAGTAAATAATCTTTCCCAAATAATCTATCCGGGCCTTAAAAAACTCTTGTGGAAGAAATTTTCCTGAGTTATGATTTTACGTCTCTCCCCTACTTGTACGTTATAGTAAAATATAGAAACTGCATCCCGCCCTGAAGTATATAAATAACCACGGAAATAACGAAAGAGATTGAGTCTACAAAATAAACTTGAAGGTTCTAAAACTCCAGTCGTTACCTTCTTATCGTAAAAAGGGTTGAAAGTACTGGAAACAAAATTATTAGTGCATTTAAATTTTATTTGTACATACGAAGATTGAAGGGAATTTCAAATTTGTTCTGACATCTCGATGAATGAAAAGCAAAAGCAGAACAGAACACTGGTTTAGGTTCAATATCATTGGTAGACAGTTTTGATTGATCGATTTTTTCCTTGCAACATTTCATACGGAGAGAAAAATTTGGCGTAAGTCAAAATCATATTCCATCAATTCGTATGAAAAATAAATCATTACAATTACAGAACAACTTGTATAAAGTACATAACTGGTTTATATTTTTTACTGGATTGTTATTTCGACTTGCAGATGAATGTATTTTCGTGGAATTTCTGTTGAATTTTTTCTCTCCGTATATAAGATCGATAAGATATATATATATATATAATAGATATATAAATAATACAATAACTCGGTACTACCGCAATTCATTAATAATTAATTAATTACTTTACTTCGTTGGTTTAAACATGGAATTCCGATTAATTACGACTTCGGTAATATGCGGTATATACAATTAACGCTACAGATAATTGAACAATGAATTATGTACACAACCATTAATGACATATTAATTTCGATATGTATATCAACATACTGAGATAGCTTTATGGAAATTTTCACTTATTTTCAATTTTTAGGTTCTTGAAAAGGGCCAACTTTTCAAAATTAATGTATTTCATGTACGTTACTGAGATTTGAGACGGTAACTGTTACTGGCCGTAATGTCAAAGTATTCAAACGAATAATTTTCTCTACAATATCTGATTTTTCTAAACACTGACACAGTCAATTCACAATAATCTTCCTATTTTTCTTAAAAGAAAAATCATTCTCAGCTCTAGAAAAGGATGAGATTGACTTCTACAAGCTGATACCAACATTTACACATTTAGCACGTACATTAGGACCCTAAATAAAAATACTGCGCATATAAACACATTAACTTTTTCCGCTGTAATGCCATTTTCATGATTATTGTTTTTACCATAAAAAAAACACATTTACCTTCGTCCACTATACCATCCAGATTGCACGTAGGATTTTGAATTTTTAAACTCATGAAAAATAAATAGATTCATACGCCTGGATCAATTGACATCAAGTGCGTTCGAAGATAAGTCGTGGAAATTCATATGAAATGACTCACTGCATTCACTTAATTCGACTAATGGCCACCCAACACATCAATGATTCTCATTTTAAATATATGCTTCATATAATTTTTTTAACCATAATTTTCTGATTAATCAGTCTTTCAATATGCGTCGGCTGAGCATGTTTTGTGCTATATCAGCGCTTAAATGATTTCACCATGTAAAACCTATTTTTAGTTTTCAACGACTTCGCCGGTCGTACCCTAATTGAAGTTCTTGCCCTTCTCTGGAAGAACTTGTTCTTTCAATTCCTCTGATGAGAACAATTGTGATTCCAATTCAAGAAGTCACCACGAGTTTAACATTGCTCAGCCTTCAACGGGAGTATTTGTAACGAATGGTCTAGAGACATCACGAGATGTCGGTTTGAAGTAGTTGAACCTCCTATTTTCATGTGATCGCTTGTCGGAACTTTCAAATGTGCCTGATACCGGATAGTGAAGTAGACTAGGGTCCCTCACGAGAGGCATTCTCGTCCAGAACCATATCGGAGCTCGATCCTTCTGTTTTTCGTTGACACCAAATCTAGGCCGAATTGAGCCTTGGCGGTCATTCCGCCAATCTCGCCAATGAACCTGCTTCTGAGGACTAGAGAGGTTATTCACGGTACCTTGATTACTGTAGGTTTGATGATGATGATTGCCCTTGAAATTCTCATACGAATGAATACTGTTAACTCCCTCCGATGGGAACCTTACATAGCTGGGCCCATTCTGGATTCGATTGTAATTTGGAAACCTAACAAAATCATTAGGCACATTTCCCAGACCCAAATTTTGGTGATTCGGAAAGAAGCTATCCGCGTCCGATACCTTCTGCAAATCCATCTGATCCTCAATCGTCTTGATTTCCGTGAAGACGTCTGAGTTGTCTGGAGTTATTAATGTCACGTATTTGGACTCATCCCTGCTTGGAAACTCAGTGGAATGAGGATCAACTCGCTTTCTGTTATTATAGTTGCTTGATGGAGAGTACTGAGGATTATCAGATGGATATTGACTGACAATGGCTTCTGCATTGTTAGATGAAGACGCAGTCATAATTTCGGAGTTGTCAGACTTGTTCGGATTGTGATGTATGTCGATCAATGGAACCCTCGTGGATGATATTTCATGGATATTTTCATTTACAGGCAATTCTTCTATCCGTATTACTGAACTCATCTCCTTCTGACTCGTGGAGGATTCGTCGCGCACTTTGGTTATTGCCGGAAGCGCTTCTTGTTTCGTTCCAACGTTCTCCATTGTTGTGGATTCCTTCTTACCATCGGTATCGTCTTCAGTGATTTCCGCATTTTCCGGGTATTCCGTATATGATGATGAGTCTTCATCGAGAAATGTCGTTTCCTGGTCCGTCAACAACGCCGGAGTGACTGTCATGAGGTTTTCATCCGTTAGAGATTTGAGCGATGTCGTCTCTTCAAGTTTCAATGAATTCGTTGCGTTTGCATTTTCGTGAATATTCACACCGACGACTATTGTTTCCCGAACGAAATCATCATTAATGCTTGTGGAACTCGATATTTTAGACGAAGTCGTGTCATTATTGTTATCCACAGGGATTGATAATAACTGAATACGGGGCTGCGCCGTCACTATCATACTAGCTTCACTATGTGTCAGAATTTCATCATCATTCGATGATTCTTCGATGTCTTCTACATCTTCATGTTGTCCAGGAAGTTCTGTTTCAGTTTCCTCGGCCAATTCCTTGATGTCTAATAACTGAGGCTTCGACGTATTCATCTCTGGATCTACCACAGCAGACTCATTGAAGAGAATTTCAAATGGTGTCGTGGTAGTTGGTAAGCGTTCGGAGAAGTTGACACCGAAAATTTCCTCAACTTCTGGATTCAACTTGTCATCTTTCTGAACGTCCAGCTTTGAAACTGGTAGTTTGGTTGGAGTCAACAAGAGAACAACAGTTGGAGAAACTGATGAGTTATTCAAAGGCCATTTTTCCTTAAACTCTTCACGTTTGTCGTCATCTGATTGCGAATCCGTCACTTCCTCGGCAATTGTATGATTATGAATTTTCTCGTCAGGCTCAACTTTATAACCAACGACTTCTGAATAACTCGAGTTGGTGTCATCGACGAAGGCAACTATTGAAACAATACCGTCATACTTTGTAGAATTGCTTTTATTATTTCCAATACCATCCTTGGTAGTTGGAGCTTCATGAAAAAATGTCTTCTCATCCGATTCATCTTCGTGCTCCTCAGCCTTCTCATCTACAGTTACTTTAGCTCCTTCATCTCTATCGAGAGGTTTTACTTCCGACGAAGGTATAGAAAGTGCTTGAGACTCATCATCGAAGTCTTCCTCCTGGTCTTCCTCCTGGTCTTCAGGACTAGCGGCAACAGGAATATTCAGGAGATCCAGCTGCAGTGGTCCAGTGGGAACTGAATCCGAAGAGCTAGCTGCAGCTTCCGGCTTGGTACCTCCCAAATTAGCGTACATAGCGTTTAACCTCTGGACAAGAAAGTCGAGATGCGCTTCGTGATTGATGTTTACGTTCTTGACGCAACGGTTCATCGGGTCGGCTTGATATCCTTCAGCACACGCAGGCAGGGCCTGCAACGATGGAGCAATGAAGATACTCTTTGGCGTGATCTTCCGAAGAAGACTGGCGGAATCTAGTCCACCACCTATATTGCCTCCACCCTGATCCACCAGGAGCCACGCTTGCCATGCAAGATCCTCAGGATTTCCCACTTGATCTATTCCGGAATTCTTCATTGAAGATACCAGCGATTTTCTCCGCGTCTCTGGCCTTGAATCCTCTTCCATCGGCCTTGACAAAGTTCGTGTAAGTAAACCAATGTTCAGGAGGATGAAAAATAATTTTCGCCTACTCCCTATCGACGCCATGCTTACTAATACGTCACGCCGAAGAATTCTGCTAATTCAACTCTTTAGTGGGCGTCGCCAAATTAATCGACGCATGGAGAAGATTCCTGCAACATTGAGAGATACAAATTCAATTAGATTCTCAAAGCGTGTGGTCAATTGATCAACTTCAATGTGGGATATTGTAAAATACTTCAAAATGTAGCGAACAGAATTATCTATGCGCAGAAATTTTTTCGTTGGATCACAATAAAATCTAGGGGACTTCGGGAGTTCTTAAAAAATTACTAGATCTGGAAAAGGTCGGGACTAATTGGGAGAAAGATAGAAAATAACTATTAGTTTTATACCAGTGAATCCGGGGACTCCCATACTAAATGCGACAAGAAAAATAAAAAATGTCGAATGAATAATTTAAAGGTTTCAGTTCTGGGGCTTTCGCTGTCAAAATTATTAACCATGTTTCGCTTATTCTCGGCGTTGTATCAACGTTTAGCAAACATTGCAGTCTGCATCATCAAGGTTGTGAGCATTTCTGTATGCTCCTTAGGTGGTAGTGGGGGAAATAAATCAAACTGCATTGCTCTGAGCGGGATGGATTTCTCTCCATTCAGTTAAGACGAATATTTCAAAAAAGAGAGAAAATGGAATCAGTCAAACGGTCAAGAAGACACCAGTCCAAGAAGATCCTTGAGAAATACCTACATCTCCACAACTGCTAATGCTGAATTTTACTCGTCTCGATTCTTTTTTTGCGAATTATCGAATAGCAAAGATCAGATCAGAATATGTTTACTAAAAAATTTAGAGAACAATTCGTCAACTCGGTTGTCATTTGACGATTTAGAATAATACTTGTTTATCTTTCTGATAACGCAACTGATTATCTTTGATACTCCATTCAGTTACTTACTCATTATAATAATTTTTAATGTTTTAAGAAAACAGATTATAAATTGGTAAAGAAATGAATAAAGAATGAGAGTGCGTGAATAGTGGCACCACTGGAATAGAGTGGTAATGTCCATGTAGGAGAAACATTTCGAAATGCCAACTTCTAAGCGCATTCCACGGTATTGTAATCGATGCCGCTACAAACCATTCACAATCAGTGACCAACATTATCGTTGACGGTGAAATACAGATAGAGCGTTTCTAGCCGATACACCGTTTTCTTTAATAGCGTTTTCATTTCTCAGAAATTTCTGATATAGTACTTCAACAATTTTTACGTTCACTCGCACGGTAGTTGCTCATAATCAATAGTTTTAACATTAACATTTAAGTTCATGATTTGTTACCATTATTCCATTAGCCCGAATTGGCTTCCCCACGAGGACGAACTGAATGAATAGAAATAGAAACAAGAAGCGTAGAAAGTTCTAAAGTTCTTCCTTAAACTTCATTTCTTTTTGCTTCCGAATGGAAGCTATGGAATCATGATTTTTTTCGATTTGCCAATTTTGATGGAGAACTCGAAGACCTAAATTTTGGGACTCCACTGAGACCAATACAATTTTCTCTCGATTTTTGCGTTTTCTCCTTGAAATAATTCGCTTAGTTGTTGTTTATGGAAAATTTTCGAATCATCTCACTGTTCTACATACTTATGCACCTTTGATAAAAAAATTATATCTTCGAATTTCATGAAATTCTACATAATTTTAAAATATACTTACGAAATTGAAAACATAACCGGTCACAAGGCTTCCATTCGGAAGCAAAAAGTACAATTTAAATTGCGAAAGTGGTTTATTGATTAATTGAGAGGTCAGTGTAAATTTATCAACGTCGAGCGATAGGGCTCGACGAACTGAGCTTATGTATAGGTTACTCTTTCCTACAAACGCGATGCTTCTCTCATCTAGCGGCGTAATAACGCTAATTACCAATAAAAAAAAAGACATTAATCAACACAAACGACTTAGCTTCATAGAAATATTATTGCACAATAAGTGTGAATAATATTATCATTAATATTACAGTTATTAAGATTTTTAATACTTTCTCCAATCTACTCTCGCCAAACTCCGGGAAACTTTCATATTTTGTAAGATTTCTCTAATATTCGCCTACCTACCGTTTTTATCTATTGGTTTATTTTTTTTTTATCTCAAATTATATCCATTTTCATGCGAAATCTTGCCTGGGATTTTCCCAACTATCTTTCACTGGGAAAACATTCAACGTATAGTTGTGGGGAGCACTAATTTTGTGGCGACACTCACTCAAATGTCACTAACTCGTCAATTGTCCTGAATTTAAATTTATGTGTCACTGGGGCGATATCAAAGCGCGCGCGGGAGACGCGCCTTTTTATGGGAACGATTTTTTAAAAATTACTCGCATCAATTTTAAACTTGTGGTTTTAACTGATCGTTTGTCCATTGATTCAATTAGTTAAACAATACGAAATAAAATTACATCGACACATCGATCATTTTTATAATCACAATTTTCAACGGGGAGTTTATTTTTTAATAACTATAGTGTAGTTTTTCATGTGAAAATTATCAAGCTTCAGAGCAGAGAGATATTCCATTCGGATAATTATATACACATGTTTAATCGTGAAGAATCATGAAATCTCTCATTACAAAAGCCGTCCTGGCATTTCGTGTCACCGCGTTATTTTCATACTGTACTGTACTTTACTGAGTCATGTATATACATGTTATTAATAATATACAAATAAGTATATTTGTAAAGTATATTATGAGGACTTGGAGTTTTTTTCCACAAAAATCGAGTACATAACCTAAAAAACGCAACCCGACGAGTTCCTCGCATGACCTGAGTGCACCACGTGCAGGAAGCTGTCGAAGCACCCGAAAATGTTTATTCTCGTAAAAGATATTCACTCAAACTTGACCGGCACTTTAAGATGATTTTAAGATGACAGCAGCCAGGATCACGACGCTGAAGTCGGGGGTAGTAGATGGAAATTGTGCTCACCACTTCTGGGACATGTCGACAACCCAGATGTTCCACCAGGTATGGCACGATATAACATAAAGTTACACACTCCACTTTCAAAACTTGTATATTTCAAATTGATATCGTGAGTGATTCTCTGCGACCGGAGCATGAGGTGCACTATGTCACCGAGCTTCTGACATCCGTCAACACAACATATGTTTACACGGTGGTGGCTACCTCAGGGACAGTGCCAGAAAAGCGGACGTACATTCCAATTACGTGAAAAAAAACTGTCCTCCAAATATCCTTTCTCCAAATATATATCCGAATAAACAAAATATATTTAAATAAGTAGAAAATTATTTTCAAAATATAGCATTTACTGTTGGCCGGTAGATGACACTAATATAAAGTTCGGTAAAATATCGATTATTATTCACTCAAAATTTTTATACAACTATTTCATTAAAAAAATCAAACGAATATATATATATATATATTTATGGAAATTTCTTTTTTTTGTGTCACTTCACTAGAAATTGAAGTTTAATTGACATTTAATTCCACTGACATTTGATTGTTCTCGCAGTTTATTTTTATTTGTTATTAATAAGTATTAGTATTATTAGTAACTTATATCAATTGTTTACATTCTCTTTCCACATTTCAGGAACAATTCCTGCTGATTTGTCTGTTGATGTGTTTTCCCTAGGTTCTAATACAATTTTTAAAAAACAGATTGCCGGATTATTTCTGAGCTTATTCTCTTCAAATTATTGGCAGACAGGAATGCACCTGTGCTGGGCAGCCTGGGACAATGAAGTTGAATTAACTTATCTATTTCTTGTCGGCCTTTAGAGTAAAGGGGACAGAACCGAATGATATGATCGATATCTTGTATCTCAACGTTATCTCCACAACTGCATTCCGAGCTGCTCACTATTTTATTCTACATAGGGACTTGTTGAGATGGTAATGGTTTGATGTGGCCGTATTGACCCAGACAACCAGTTCTCTAGGGAGCTTTCGTGCCATACCCGGTCTTCCGTCGTTTCTCCAAAAATTCGTCTAATAAAATTCCCCTGCATTGCACTTTGAACTCCGTGGGTGGAGCTGGGTATGTTTTAATTTCCTCAGTTACACTTCAGGCAAAAGAGTCAACCCTTCCATCCCCATCAATCCCAAATTAGCATGAATCCAGGCGGGCGATTTTCGTGTTGAATAAATTTTCTGTGAATCAGAATTTCTTTCGCGTCTAGAGTAAACAAATTAGTGTGTGGATTAAAACTAAATAAAAACTAATGGATTGCAGACTTTTGGAGACTGGAGGAAATAGGAGAGAATAAGATGACTGGACATCTTATGCTCTTGCTTCATCCAGTGCTAAATTGAAAATTAAAAAATGCTCTTTGCATTTTATAGCGAGTAGTGCTTATCAAGGGTAATGGGCGTATCTATGCCCAGATTAGGGCAGTGACAGACAGCTCCTACATATTCTAGGTCTTGATTTTTACTACCATCTGCGTATATTATGTTCCAATTCTCATTTTGCAAGCTGATCTGTCAGAGCTCGGTTGGAAAAATCCTTCCTCAATACTTTTTGTGATCGATTTATCTCTACTCCAGTTTTATTTTCTTTAAAAATGAGGAATTAATTATTCCTAAGAACTTTCCTAAGATACGTTTTACAGAGTAATATGGTTTTTTAATAAGCATTAGCTTAGGCTCTCCTAGGACATTGGTAGGGGTGCTACGCCTATAGATTCAAGTTTCAACTTTTTCGCTAAATCGCAAGCCGAGCGTTTTCTCGTGATTCCGGTATCTTTGCCGAATGCTTCGGAATGTCTATACCTCTTGTTTGCAATGAATTTAATGAATTTTAAAATAGAACTGGAGCAGCCGATCTCGGTGAATATATCTATCAAAATGTCACCGACCACGTTGTCAAATGCTCTGGTGACATCCAAAAATACTGCTGGCATATGGTTCTGGTAACGAAAGGAATCCTCAACTTGTGCGGCAAAATTGACTAGATTGTCCCGACAAGATAGCGCAGGTATAAATCCTGTTTCCGCAGAGAGTATTTTACCATTACGTTCTACCCACCGCTGTAATCTGTTCTTCAGTAGGGTCTCATATAATTTGAGCAGACATGAGGTAAATGCAGTGGGCCAAATTCCGGAACTGTTGGCTTCAGGAATGAAGTGAAAATAGGAGTCCCTCCATTCAGGCGAGAATTTCCCCGAACGGTGCATGTCATTTAAAGTATCTAATAGAATTAGTTTAATTTACACCAGAAAACGACTGAGGAACACGCCGTCAACGTCAACAGTCCATCAACGTCGAGGGACGGCTTTTGATCTCGATGTCATGCTTTCCCAAAGAGAAATTCTTATATTGAAAAACATCACACCCTCATTTTGGTGTTTCAAACAAAATTCATTGGGATATTCGTTGTTATTCCTTTCACCTGTTGTTTCAGTTGTACCTCTGACGGGGATGATAAGTGAGGCCCTTGCTCTACACTCTTATCAGGAAAAAAATACATTCACCTCGGGAAATTGAAATTAAAATGAGGCGGAAGCATTGGATTTTCCAACCACATGTGCCAATCGCGGTCGATTCAACGCGCGGGTCGAACTAATTTCGTCGACGCCTCGTGTCCCGAAGAGAACATCCGATTCTCCGTATACACTGTTAACTGGTTTCTTGTCTTGAAACAAAAAGAATCGATCTGTTTCCCCCTAGGGCAAATCACACGCCGCTGTCGTATTTCTATCATTCAAATTAGTCAACTTACCCATCTCCCATGAGAATATACTAGGCTTTAAATATATCATGGTGGGTCCTGTACCCCTTACTCTAACACTTGATTTGTATATATGTGTAAAATGAGAGATCCCCACAGAGTTGCACGCCTCCGTGAAACAGTGTCAGTGACCGACAGCCTAAGGCCGCCAGACCATCTTGCATGAAACACAAGCTGTCTTGAACTTTGAGCGTGGTTCACATAGTGGAAAAAAAATAATGCGGTCTATGCGTTCTCAAAGGAGACAGGAGGAGGTCGGGCTTGACAGATCCAGAGTATTTTATCGAGTGCTTTCCAAGTCATTCTCACTGGAGCCACCAAAAAGTCCTGTAGTTGTAAAAACTGACTAGTCAATATAAATTTTATTATGCCTTTTTTTTCCAAATCTCGAGAGCTATTGGGTATATTGGGTATTAAAAATAATATAATTAACTTACGGTGGTAGTCACGAGAGGAGAGGGCGATACACGTGGGTGCTCCAAATTTATAATCTCCGCTCATCGATCTATTAATAGTCAAATATTTTAACAGGTGTTAATTATCACGTGCTCATAATCACCCTTGATGTCACCTCGTAACCTCGTCACCTGTTTTACTAACTGTACTCTCCATAATTCGAAGGCAGCAGTTCTCTATTTCTCTCTGATCTAGGAACGCGCGAAGTGGGGACATAAAAGTTCTCGGAATTCCATTCCTCAATCTTATATTCGAAAACTCTGTTTTGCTTGTTTACCATCGCTCTCGTCCTGGAACTGGTACTTTCATGCTGTGATCAAGGTTGAAGGAAGAAAAATCAACAATGACATCTGATGTGACGCTTGAGTCTCAGTAATTCCCATAAAAATGAAGAAATGTGCCGCAATGTCGAGAATTAGAGATATTCAAGTAATTGTCAATTCATTCTTAGAGACCGGAATAGGTTTATCATGAGGACAAAAAAATCGGGAAACAATGTCTATGCAGAGGGTGGATAGACACCGGTCCAAAGGATCAAAAGCAAACATGGATAACGTCCTAGGTATCCAGACCCCGAGCCTATCTCACTATTTACCTTTTACCTTTTAACTCCAGAAATTTTATCACGCATCACCGCCTAGTTATTTAGCTTTCATTGAAAACCCAGTCTATTTTTTGGAATGGAAAAACCATCATTTAAAAAACCCATTACTTAATCCCAAAGACTGCCGACGTACCCTCTCAGCAACTCGGGTTCCACGAGCGCCACCTCGCGTTCTTTTTTGATACATATTCCTTCACTCTTTCTCTTGGTGTTAATTAATTAATAAACATTTTGAATAAATATGATAGAGGGATCTCGATCATTGAGTGTTGAATATTTGAAAAGTCCTGATCCTACGATGACAGAAGTCGCACTACGTTGTCTCTCAGCGGAAAGACTCTTCCAAGCCGAGTTCCGGGAGACGCAGGCAGATCGATTTCAGTCTCTCATAGGCTCGGATAGCCTCGAGAGCTTTTTTTATTTTTTATCCCACTAATTAAATTGCAAATTTTGTTATTTTTTGTGATTGCATAGCTAATGTAGTCGGTTCTGTCCATTTTTGAGAATTTAATAAATTGTTGAATCCTTTAATTTGAATTATTCAATTATTATTTCCAGAATTTCTTACATAAAACTAGACGGATTCGATAACTATTTGCATTTCATTATAACTCAACTCCTTCGAATGAGTATATTACGCAACAAGTGCGGAATGGGTTTTTTGACTCGTGGGAGGTTTGTCATAGGAGCAGAAGGTGAGTTAAAAATCCTATACAGAGAAAAATAATTGCTAGAGATTACTATAATATAGATTTCACTATAAAAATATGGTAATACCATATGGCTAATACTATTATAGTCTCGAGCACGTGATTACGAGCTCTGATGTTTCAATAATAATAAACGTGAATTATTCCATATTTCAACTCATAGGTTTCAAGTAAATTTTTCCAAATTGATGACTGCAAAAAAAAACTGAATAGTGACTGGATCATCGAACTGATGGGGATTGAAAAACTGTTCCTTTGTCTGAAGAGTATCAACTGATTTCCATGCATTCATGGATGACCTAATAATTTTGACGAACGTATTCTGTGGATTAATTACGGATCGTGTCATTTTAAAGGAAATGCCTGAAAAATTAAACTCACGGTCACTTGATTTAGTTTCTTCTAACGGTATATTAGAAGCTTTTTTATCGATGGCAACTCGTCCGGGTCTCTCTTTCGTTTTGTGGGTGCCTTTTCCTCTGCTTGAGTGCCTCCACGACCCACGAAAGGATACGTCAGCAAGAGCCTTCCGTAACTATTGTTGAGAAGGTTCCCCTTACTCATTAATTACAATTCCTATATTTCAGGATTATATTGAATTATTATAGCAACAATACGATTCACCGTCATTATTATTCATCAACTGTAAGCGATTCAAACAAATTTCCAATCCGCAAATCATCAATTCGCCGCTTTTGTTTACATATCCCACATCGTTCAACACCAGGTGAATTATGATCAATAAATACATGAACAATGAAATATTTTTTTCTCAAAAAAATAAAGATCGACTTGTATTAATGCGAGGAATAAAAATAAATACTTAGAATCAGGAACTTATTTCCATCATTTACTCACTATTAGAAGCTTCATTATGGTACTATGAGAACTGTTTCAACTATCACTATTTCTCGTAAAAACTTGATCACGAAACAATCACGGTGTGTCACGTTGCAAAAAATTTCTACCACCAGCACTGGCATCACCACAGCACTGATGAGTTTAATTACAATTCTGAACTACTCCTGGCCATTCTGTGAATGGAATTACAATTTATTTATTGAAAGAGTTCTCCCGATATCACGACTATCATCAAAGTCCACCTGTGTCCTTAAAACATTTCACTTTCAGCATCGAACGAGAGAATGTTTAAAACCTCAACGATTAAAACTTCCAAACATGCTCTCCTCACGTTGGATATCCGTGAATAATCAGCTTTTCTCGAAAGGTAGATTCGGTGAAAATGAATGAATAATTTATGGTTCAAACTGATGTATAAAAATGGTCTCACATCTGCGCATGACTCCCTTTCCGTGTGAAACGGGCGTCAAGTAGCGACTGGCGTTTTCTTCGGTGTGAGAGTCACAACCGAGAGGTTCAGCTCGTGTTTCCACTCACTTCCCACCCCCTCCCTCTTACCGACAAAATGAGTTGGTTACCTCTGTATCTCCATCTTTCTCAATCCTAAGGGTTCTCGCTCAAGCCGTCGCCCCCCGTGGCCCCCCACTTCCTGGCCAACGTACATCCCTCCGTCCCTCACCCTCATTTTACTCCAGTGAGGAAGGTTTGTGCTGTTACGACGTCGAGTTTATCTCCTTACGTGTGCCACATGCATCTCACTTATGTTTATCTTTGATAACAGATTCGGAGGATCTGCAGCGAATCAATAGTGCTTTTATCGTATTCAGGCACGTTCCAGTAAGTAATGTACCATAGAGCGGCATTTTCTGCTGTACAACTAATAAACGAGTAACAAATATATAATATATATTCCAAACTGGAAAATTTATAAATCTGACAGATCACTCCATTGAGGAATCCAATCGTTCACTTGGTCAAGTATTGAGGATTATCGCTCGATTAATAATTTCGATATATATAACAATCGATTATCAATCTACTGCCCATATACCAGGTATCGATCAGTGATCGAGTAGCCATCGATTTAATCAACACTTCGATGAATGTAATTCACCTTTAACATCATGCATGAGAGTTCACAGAATATCACAACCTTGTTGCCTCAGCAGAGATTATTATTTTTTCTGCTTACAATCTGACATACAATAATCAACTGTGATCCCATCACAAGGTATATGTCTCAAGGTGCATTTTTCCAGTTTCAATCCTGAATGTCGATCGTACATTCTAATTCGTGGTTGTCAGTCTTGTGTAGACGTTGAATATATTTTTATTGTTTTAATTGTCTTTTGACAGTAATCACGAGACGTGAACCACTTGGAATTCGTGTGTTGGTCGATGTTTGCTGTTATCGTGTTTTAAATAATACCAGAGGTCCACACAGCAGCAGTAGAGGAATATTGGCTCTTCTTGAACGTTCTGAAAATCATAACAGTGGAATATCGAGGTTCCAACTAATTGACCATTGCACACTGTTGAATTTTGGGATTACGATGGATTACTTTGATTACTGCAGTTGGAGTCTTATAATAAAATCCATCCCACGTAGGAATCGGTGTTAATCGATCCTCCGTCGTACTTTTTTCATGATTGCTCGAGCTTGGTTCATCACTGATTTCAGTGGAACTCCTGCTGATGTGTTCTCCATGTTTTCTCTCCTTAATATAAAAAGAAGGACCAACCAATGAATTCTCGTGGCTATCGAGTCACGAAAAAGGCGATTTTATTATCACAGAACTGTTTCTGATTACTCATAGAATTTTTAATAATTTATATTTTGATATATGCGTGAAGAAGTTAATAGCCTCCAGGAGGAGGTATTTATCATTTTTTTTTTGGAATTTTAATCACTTTCTTGGTAATCGTTGTAGCCGTTCTGAGCAATCATCGACCGTTCTGTTTCGTTATCTGAAGAGGAAATTTCTTTGTTCCCTTACCCATTGTAAACAGTCGTAAAGAATCCAAAAGTGGATCAAGAAAAGCATGAGTGCAAATATCGATAAAATACAAATAACGAAATTGTGAATAAATATAGGATGACGGATGAGTTCTTCGTCGGATACTTCCGCGATATTAATATGAATTTCTGCATGTCTCATAGAAAATATGCCACTCAACAGCATCAGTATGCCCCCAAAAATGCACCCGCAAGTCGCCTGGATAAGAAAATAATTGGAATAATTATAAAATAAAAATCAGCAACTATAAATTTTTAAAAAATAAGAAAATGAAACTAAAAGAACAGAATATCCTCTTACTATATGGTGCTTCCACTTCCACGTACGGAAGAAGATCCACATGATGGAGAGGAGTAAACTAATTGTCATGCTCACGGGAAGTCCGAAAAATACGAGATTACGCTCCTCTGGGAGGAATGGAATATCCGGATTTTCTTCTCTAAGTATTCTGTTGACGCTGTGATGGATGTGGTGAAATAATTCAACAGCTAAAATGCTTAGCTGGAAATAAATAATTTTTAGTTTGTAGAAAACAAATCGATATCTTGAATAATATGCACGATCCACTTATGAAAACCGAATAATTTTTCATTTCCTATTGACAATTTTGTAATTAATTTCTTTTTGTTTTTTTTTTCGATGTTGATACGACATTCAATGTCGTAATAATTCCATTACAGTTTAATGCTTTTCTCAGAAAAAAGATAGGCGCCGTCCATGGATTAATTAATGAGGTTATTTGGAAAGTGATAAACTCACGAATTCTGATGCGTGCAGTATAGCATGAATAACGGTAGAAAAACTCGTGTCTCTGTGGAATTCACGAATATTATCGTGATAAATGTTACTTATTCTCGCTGCTGTACGCAATTCTTCAAGTTTCAGGGCGCCTGAATTTTCTGCCATATTTGATGAGCGGGATTTTGAATGTGTTAAAAAATTGAAGATATTCTGCATAGTTTTATCTTCCAACGGAGATTCAAATTGAATTCCGCGGGTGGTGTGCGCGCGCCTTAGGCCTACTAAAACGTCAGCCAGTCAGATCGCACCAATTTGACTGTACGTAACCTACTTGTTTCACTGATTGAACAGCTGAAGATTTCGTCATACCTAAAAACTATAAAACGCTTGAAAATTGATTAAACATCTTTTGGGATTAATATTAATATATAATCTTACTTATTTGGATGAACATATGATATCATTTTATCGACGATTATGACCTCGCGTATCGCTGCATCCGCGACTGTTCGGGCTGTCAAAGGGAAAAAAACTATACCAACTCGTGCTGCTCTCATTTTGGTAAGCCAATAATAATTGTAGACTGACTTTAACGTATTTTAATAGTGCTAATAATTTTCACCTACTTCCAGTAGAAAAATAGATATTAACGAAGATCCAAAAATTATACTGATATTTTTTCTGTTTCTTTTGATTTTAGACTCAAAACGCTGTGAAGAAAATTAAAGAAATTTTGAAAGATAAGAATGAGCACGTAAGTTCCCAACATTTTTTTTTCATATATTGTTTGCTATTATATATTCGTTTTATTATTAGCAATTAATTGGATTGGAAAACAGATCATCCTCCATCATGCGTAAGATTTACTTCCGAGCTGGAGGCGAAGATGGTCAGCAGGAGGGTGATATGTTTTTCATGGCGAGACGCAAAAAATATTATGCAAAGAGTTTTAGAACTCCCGAAATAGCCAATTGCGAATTTTTATATGTTGCATACATATTCTCATCATGCGACAAGTGAAACGTCCCAGATAAAAAGACTTCTTGACTTGATTACAAGCAACTTTCAGATCACCTACTGAGCTAATATAAAACACAAATATTTACTGTTTATTTATCCCCCGAATTTCAAACATGTGCGAATGTCTACTCAAAGATTGACAGATTCCTTAGCATTTAATTTTAAGATAATTGACTGATTGCATTTAATTACATCAAACAAATTTGCTTGAGACAATAACTTACACTTGCTTCTTTGATGTAAATGAATAAATAAATTAAACACTCGTTATTTTGGATTGATCTTCACAGATTGGGCTGAAAGTTGGTGTACGACAACGGGGCTGCAATGGTTTAAGTTATACTCTCGAATATGCGAGTGAGAAGAGTCAACTCGATGAAGAAGTTATCCAAGACGGTGTCAGAGTAATAATTGATCGAAAAGCACAACTCTCGTTACTAGGTACTGAGATGGATTACATCGAAGGAAAGTTAAGCTCTGAATTTGTTTTCAATAATCCGAATATCAAAGGGACATGCGGATGTGGAGAAAGTTTCTCTGTTTAGTCGGAGTGGGTGTATTGTAGATAAACTGGAATCACATTTGTTCACGAAATAGCATAGTGTATGATTCCCACCGATCACATAAAGAATTAAAAATCTGTGAGTTTCAATTAGTTATTTAATGAGTTATTTAAATTATTTATATTGTTATGGTGATAGTGAATTTTAAAGAGAGAGCTCTCAAAATCGTACATCATTATTGATGATTTAAAAAGTTCCCAAATTCTGAATTTAACGTGTCAGCACTTCCCAAATTATTTGTTATTAATTTATGTCAGTAATTACCTTTTGCTAAATATATTATATGCTAATTATAGCATCTATACTCAATTATGAACAAACGATAAATTCAAAATTTGTAATTTTACTCATAAAGACCCCCTAATTGTTCCGAATTGATATAAATAAAATGTACATTCAATAAATTTTTCATCTGCAAAGTCTATAACTATCAGACAGCTCTCTATCTTCTTTTGATGGTATAGTAGAATTCCTCCGTGATGAAAAGACTCCTCTTCTACCGATTGAACAAAAAGAGAAGAGAAAGTAGATGAAACACTAATGTTGCAGTAAAAATTAAAATAATCAAAATGATGATCACTCAAACGATCGATGTGAATCAATCCAGATTGTTCCTGCAACCAAGGCGAGTCTTTATTTCCTATTGTCTCCCCCTTTTATGGAGCTGCTAAGATGAAATTATATAATAAGTTAGAGAATTTATGGAGTAACCCCTCACACTTCTTCATCCCGCACACTTATATGCGTAACCAGAATAATCACAACGGAGCCGATATTCCATCGTCCTTGAGTGACATTGGAATATTAGAGCCCAGTTTGTTATCGCGGTTAAACGCATCATTTATACTGACTTGATTAGAACTTCGGTTTCTTTGAAAGTGTCAGTTCTACTCATTCAGTTTTCATTTCGGAGCGTTTTTATATTTTTATTCCATTTATTTCTGATAAAAATGTCGATTGTTGAAATTCAAACGAAAATTTATGATGATCAGAAACCGGGAACCTCGGGTCTTCGTAAAGCAGTGAAGGTATTTCAACAAGAGCATTACACTGAGAATTTTATTCAAGCCATTCTCACAACCCTCGGACATGAGATAACTGGCGCAACACTAGTCGTCGGTGGTGACGGACGTTATTATGTAAAAGAAGCCGTTGAAAAAATTATTAGAATTGCAGCGGCCAATGGGGTAAGTTTTTTAAATGGTTATTGATACAACATAAAAATTTTGGGTCATTGGCTTGAGTTTCAGGCCATTTTTAAAGTTTCGGTACAATCATTTTTCTTACTTCGGAATCTAATTTTTTCTTATCAGAGAAATTTGAATTTTCTTTCTGCATTCGATTATCTGCTAATACTATTCAACACATCATATCGAACTACACAATCTCGATAGTACGATATAAGTACTGTTTAAGCTCCCGGAAGTCTTCTACACCTTTGAGGAACTTATTAATTATTTTTGAACGGACAAGGATCTTCCTTAACATTCACCAAAACGAAAATGATAAAATGAATTGAGTTTAATCGAATTGATGATGAATTGAAATAAAATAAAAGTCAGAAATAAATACGTATCAAATTCAGATATTTCTATATTCCAACAGGTAGGAAAATTAATCATTGGTCAAAATGGGATATTATCTACACCCGCAGTTTCGACTATAATCCGCAAATACAAAACTCATGGTGGAATTGTTCTCACCGCATCGCACAATCCCGGCGGTCCAAATGCTGATTTTGGGATTAAATTCAACTGCAACAATGGAGGACCAGCCCCTGATCAAGTGACGAATCAAATCTATGACCTCACCAAATCCCTAAAATCCTACAAAATAGTTCCCGATATCAACATTGACATTTCTAAAATCCAAACTCACAAAGTATTAGTCGCTGGAAATCCTTTTGTCATCGATGTTGTGGATGCCGTGGAAGATTATGTGGCGTTGATGAAAGAAATATTTGATTTTCCAAGTATTAAATCGCTTCTGCAAGGCAACAAGGACAAACCCAAGTTTCAAGTACTCATCGATTCCCTCAACGGAGGTAATCATTATACTACAGCAAGCATCTTTATATATTTTAATTATTGAATGATTCAACATGATTCAACAGTGACTGGCATATACGTCAAACGCATATTCGGCGTTGAACTTGGTGTCGATGATGCGTCTATGGTACACGCCCAACCCCTTGAAGATTTCGGAGGTCTCCATCCAGATCCTAATTTAACTTATGCCGCCGATCTCGTCAACAGTATACGAAATGGTACCCAGGATATGGGAGCGGCATTCGATGGTGATGGTGATAGGAATATGGTAACTATAAATCTATGTAATAGTTTAGTTCTAGTTTTTTGGTGTTTACAAGGGTGAATTAACTCCGGTCGTATTTCCGAATTTTTCGATAATTTTTCCATTTTTAGTTTTACTTCTCATGGATTTACAGATAATTGGAAAGAAGGCATTCTTTGTTACACCGTCAGACTCCATTGCTGTGTTGGCAGCTAATTTGGATATCATACCGTACTTTCAAAAGACTGGGATCAAGGGATACGCACGATCAATGCCTACAGGTGCTGCTATAGATCGGGTGGCTGCTAAAAAAGGAATTGAATGCTTCGAGGTACCAACTGGATGGAAATATTTCGGTAATTATATATTTCTTAATCCAATTTCGATGAGAACAAATGGAATAGATTCGAATCTTCTACTTGCAATAATTTCCATGAAAATATGAATGAGTGGATGCAACGATTGTCAGAATTGGTTCTCTCTCAATTTCATTTCGTAATTGATAAGATGACAGATATTTCCTTTTGTTTCCAGGTAACTTGATGGATGCTGGCCGTCTGTCTCTTTGTGGAGAAGAAAGTTTTGGCTCTGGTTCTGATCACATTCGAGAGAAAGACGGTATCTGGGCAGCTTTGGCATGGCTCAATGTGATAGCCAAACTTAATAAATCAATTGAAGAGATTTTAAAAGATCATTGGAATGCTTACGGTCGAAATTTTTTCACACGTTATGATTACGAAAATTGTGACATCGATGGAGCGCGTAAAGTGATGACAGAAATTGAGAGAAAAATCGATGATCCGAGTTTTAAAGGCACGAAATTCGAATGCGGTAGTAAAATTTATGTTGTCAAAGAAGCAGATAATTATTCGTATAAGGATCCCATCGATGGAAGTGTCGCTACGAAACAGGTGATTATAAATGTCTAATAAAAATTCACCAAATCAATTTCTACGTTTTACAGTAGAGTGCATAGACCTTCTCTCTTTCTTCTTAATAAGAATCTAAAAAACTTCCTTGGGGCAAACAAATTGTTACAAGAGATATGATTTATTATGTTTTCTTTTTGCCCTATCCGAATAGCGATTTCTTTTCGTCAGGTATTGAGACTAATTTAATTTTATTCATATTGACATTCTTCGTGGTCTTGCAGGGTTTACGAATTCTCTTCGAAGATGGGTCACGCATAATCTATCGGCTATCCGGCACTGGAAGCTCGGGTGCAACTATCAGATTTTACATCGAAAGTTATGAGTCAGATCCCAAAACCTTCGATAAAGACACACAACAAGTGTTGCAGCCCCTCGTCGAGATTGGCCTTGGACTGGGGAAAATCAAAGAATTCACTGGCCGCGATGCTCCCACAGTCATCACATAAATCAACTTAAATTTATTTTCTCCCAATTTCCCTCATTTTATTTGGATCTCCATGATTAATCTACCAATCCCATTAACTTCCGTTGAAAGTGGTAAAATGGAACATGTCAAAGGTACTCATATGTAATTGAAAGTTAATTCTTTCATATCCGATAAAATTTTCAAATAAATACCTTTTCTGCCGGGGCACCACATTTTTTATCATTTATTAACCTCCGCTTTTCATTACCTGGATGCAATTAATTAATATTCCACTTTAAATGGAAGAAGTGAGAAATTTCTTGTAGCTATCCATTGAATCGCGTGTTGCTATCTAAAACTTTTTGCCTCATCGAATCAATATACATGTCTGTTTTTGTCCAACTATAGTCAGACAAAACGTGGAAACTATTTTCTGGGATTACACGATAGAACCCGCGAATTACGGAGTCACCCCCAAGAAAACTAGTGTTTCCTCAGCTTGATGACAGGTAAGGATTCCTAAAAGAAAGAATAAATTGGTGTGAACCAACAGCCTGTGATAATGTCAGCTCTCGAAAAATATCCCCTCTTTCTACTCCTCACGCAATATCCAGTCTCTTGGATATTTCTCTATTTCATTGACGAACGAGTCATTGACATCACCCAAAGTCTGAGAAAGCACGAACTGAGAGAGAAACATCGGAGAGTCCCTTTTGCGATGTCGTCCTTCTACCTCAATATCTTCACACTACGAATGCTGGGATTCTGGTTCCCAGATGAGACTTCGGCGACCTGGAGAACAAATTTATACAGAATATACAATGCATTTGCTGTGACTGCCATGTGTGGCTTTGTATTGTCTCAATTCTTCGCTGCCCTTTCGTGTCTTCATGATACAAAAGAATTAACTAACGCCTCTTTTCTACTGGTAACGATAATCGCTGTCGCTGGTAAAATGTTTAACTTGACAATTTATCAATACAAAATCAGACGAATGGTCGGACTATTCGATCTTCAGCCATTCAAGTCCTTGGATGACAACGAAGTACTGATTAAATCCAAATTTCATCGTTCCGTCAAGTGAGTTGCATCAGTATTCAATGCAAAATTGTATAATTTTCTTTTGCATGTTGCAATAATATTTAAACAATTGATAGAATCCGATCGGGTCATTCCAAAATGACCTAAAACAAAAATCAATTTCCATTTCGTTATACCAACGCGACGTATGAATTTTATGCAATTTTCCGGTTTCAACGACTATTGAGGAATTAATTGTTATGATACAGAAATAAATGATTAATTTATTTAAGGCGCTTCATTTTCGTGTACGCAACAATGTCGATAGTAACGTGCACATTGATAACAATATTTTCTTTAATCCGGGACATGCCACGTCGTCAACTGCTCTTCAAAGCTAGATATCCCTTCGATGATTCAACTGCTATTGGATATTGGATTTCTTACATGCATCAGCATTACAGCCACTACTTGGGTGCAATCTTCAACACTTTTTTTGATACTTTTATCGGTGCCCTGATGCTGGATACCTCAGCACAATTAGAAATTCTCAAATATAGGTTAATAATGATGCCAAGTGCAATGGAGAATGAACGCTCTCAATCCGGATGCAAAGGAAGTCCCGAAGAAGTTCAGAAAATCGAGAGCAAGCACCTAGAAAATCACACGAATCATCACCTCGCTATTTTAGAGTTGAGTATTAATAAACAAATAATTCTATTCTGCAGTTATCCATTATAAAAACAATCTAAATATAAATAACAATCTTAAAAACTATTTTCCTTTTGAAATTTTAATCGCAGAATGTATTATTTCCATTTTTTATCTTCAGATTCTCAAAAATGACCAACGAAACATTCACTGTCTCAATTTTTCTCCAATACTGCGCGAGTACTCTAGTTCTCTGCATCAGTGTCTTCACCATGACGAACCTGAAGCCTTTCAGCAAAGAGTTCAACTCTCTGCTGATGTACGTCAGCTGTATGTTGGTGCAGATATTTGTCATTTGCGATGCAGCGAATGATGTTACTGTCAGGGTAGAGACGTCATGACTCGGCATTATCTGAGATCATTGAGATTATTTATATTTCAGAGCGAGAACATGTCGGAGGGTATCTACAGGATGGATTGGACGTGTCTATCAATCGCCAGCCAGAAAAGTCTTGTGCTCATCATGGCTCGTACTTTGAAACCTATAAGATATACAAGTGGACATGTTGTTAATTTGTCTCTAGTTTCTTTCGGCAGTGTAAGTAGTCATTAAACATTCCACTCAATGATCGTATCAATTGATACCTCATCAATGTGCAATATAGGACTTCAACTACTTGTCTGATTCATTTATTCATTTTTTCATTCGACTCTTTGCTAATTATCACTCCAATTTTAGTTACTGAAGCTTTCATACTCCGTCTACAATATCTTGAGTCAGTCGTCTGAATGAAACGTCAAATTTCACTTCGAATCATCGATTGAATGAAAATACATTTTTCCATGAGTTGTCGTTATTATTTTTTCTTTTATAAAATTAAGTTGTGATTACTCGAATCTACCGAGTAACTTTTATTTAATTAATTTTTATTTAATTAATTTTAGATTTTGTAATTATGAAAAATAATGGTTTAGTACTCGAAAAATGTACCCATGGGTCGGGAAGATGGTGGGAGATTCTGATGGGAAAAATATTTTGATTTCCTGTTTTGAAAGTGATAAATAATTTCAACTGCCTCTCACGATTTCTCGTTTGGGAATCGGTAGTGAATATCCGGAGAATAACAAACATTTGTTGATAAAAATTGAATCTCCGAGAGGTCGCATTACGGTATATGTTATTAATTATCATTATGGAAGTTCATTACCCCATGTCTCAGCACAGAAGATAAAGAAACAGCGGACGCTTCTCATTAGAAATATAATTGCCGATCGCATTCATTACTATAAAGTTCTGCGGAAAAAGTGATGATGTATCCGCTACAATTGATCGTGCAAATATCTTTTCTATTATTATTCCCAAATCTATTGCACGGTACCTACCACCGAAGAACTTTACTCTCAAAGAATTCGAGTCTTGAGGCAGAACCCCAGGAGTTGAAACCGGAATTCCAAACTTCAGAAAATCGACTTCTGCTGCCTAAACCATCGATAAGAGAAGTAACGAGTGATCATAACGAGTTAATACGTCAGGCTTATCAACGGGAAGTAAACGACAGTATTAAAGATTATTATGCGCAGAGGAAAATAGTTATGGACAATTACCACGCGAGACAAAAAAAAATAGCAGCGAAATTCTCAGATAAATTTATAAAATCCGCAGCTACTGCTGTAGCAAAGACCATTAAACCGGAAAACTCAGAGAAAACTTCGCCGAGATATCAGGACGACGAACCTTGGAATAATTCGGTAAGGATTAGACAATTAGATGATAAATAAAATTGAATAAAATTGAGATAAATTATGTCGTAAAAATCCATATTGGGTAAATAATTTTTGAACGTCGGTCCTCAGTTCATCGATTAATATTATGACTACTAAAGCTAAGGTTTAATTAAATACTTTATAAACATCGGTAAATATTGATAAATCATGACTAAATGTCGCGTAATCTGTTTAAGATGAGTAATTAAATTTCAGAATGGAAGAGTCTTCGGCCAGCATCGCTTCGGAGATCGTCGGAATTCCTCAGAAGAAACTTTGGTGTACCAACACAACATAGGGATAGGCTTGAAAGGATTATCGACTTTGAATGCCGCAATTGAGGTTCTTCTGGACGAAACAATAACGATAACATGCGTGGAATTAACGCCGTCCGATAATTCTCCAGCCAAAGTGCAAATTCTTTCCGGTGGTCCCGACTATAATTTCGTCAAACTAAAATTTACACCGGAGAAAAACCGAGGACTAACGTATGCCATTAAAATATGGGGGGTGAAAGTATAAACGAAAATTGCATGAATTTCGTTTTTTCAATCTCAATAGATTTTTATTTCTGTCGATTTATTTGTATAATTTCTAGACTGTCGATATCCTACTCGCAAAAGATTTTCTACATCCTCTATAATCAATGACATACATCAAGAACCTTGTTATCACTTCCTCTCTGAATTCGATAAAAATTCATAATCAACCGTCATGTCATGAGATCAATTATTTCTGTTAATTCCTTGTCTGGCAGCCACTGGAGGCGGGAGTGCATCTACATTACGTTCAGATTTTTTCTCCAGCTTGGCTTGCTCATTCTGTTGATTCTTAGGATGTGCCTGTGGCATCACTGGTCCTGAGGTAGATCCGAGATATCCAGATTGATGACCAAACGAATAAGGTGGGGACCCTCTCCGCGACAAGGCAAACTGCTCCGGCCGATAATTCAAATAATAATCATCTGGAGGTAAAAACGCCGGATACGCATTAAAACCGTATAAATAAGGATCATAGTACATAGATCTGAAATTTGGGTAGAAACTTAATGGAACCTGATCCTTGGTTTTCGTTCCAACTTCTGCGCATCTATTGTTGTATTGTTTATCGTCTTTTTCGTCACCTCCAGTTGTTTCTTCATCACCACTAACGATCTCAGTATCAGGAGCTTCATCACCATGAGGGAATTCCGACTGTCCAGAGCCTCCAGAGTCATAAGTTCCTGGTTCATAATTCGGCTCGTAACTCGGGACATATTCTGAGCCGTATCCAGGATTTCCAGGCTGATAGTAGAACGGTGGAGAGTAGCCAATTGCTGTTCTGTGTATGACTGGTTGGATAACAGGAATTGCTCGAGATGGAGATAAATTTTGATCTGTTGTTATCAAGGCATTGTATACCTTAGGAACTTTAAGGAGTGGAGCTCCTATCACTATCGCTATTGTTTGGAAACTCAGTAAACTGCAGGCCTGTGAATAAAATCAAAAGCATTCATATTTAATTACTGCCACTACTGCTGATTTTCTAAATTAACAGTCATAATTAATAAGATTAAATGATATCCGCAGAAATATCGGTACGATGCAAGGTAAAAGGTCGTATCTTCGCTTTCATTTAAAATATTCAATTTTTGATGAAATATTCAATTTTTGATTGAAAAAATGGAAAAAACTTTTTGTGTTTATCAATTATCGGGGATAAATTAGAGAAATAAAGAAATTGAAAGAGAAAATAAAATAATTTAAGGAGCAATAAAAGAGCATTTGATCAAACGAAGGAGTAGGCAAAGTAGAAGATAATTATTTAATAACTATTAAAATTGACTCGATTGGAATTGAATCGGTTGATGGTTGAAAAATTGATTATTGCAACAACAAAGAGGAAGATCGAAAATACTAACGGAAATATAATATCCATCAATTACTCACGTTACGTAAGAGAAAGAAAACTAAATTGAATATTAATTCTCAATATTCCAATTGATACATATTGCAATATATTTAATAATTGAATTATAATTTCCTTTAGGGGACTTGGGATTTGAGAAGAAAATAAAATATATCGACGCAATTGAAAAATTATATCTCCTGTTATAAATTGTGTATACTATTCTCTTCTTATCGGGGAGTCAATGATATTAGTACCATGGAAATCTGTAATTTTCGAGAATCCTTGAAATTACATGACCGGATTCCCCCTGTACTTACAAACACAAATCACATATTACTGAAAGTTTAGCTAAATCCTCAATCCATGGTAAAACCATGAGAGCACTTGTTTATTTCAGGTGCACTATTATCTCGATTATTTTATTGGATCATCGAATATTTTGAGGGCATATATAGGGTGCCCAAGAAAACTGGAGATCCGAAAAAAAAACTAAACTAATTAAACTAAAAATTCAGTAACGAAGTGTTAAACTGGGATAAATGCATTTTTTGGCTAATATCTTGAAATTGAAGGAACCTAGCGAATTTTCTGTAAAAATACTTTTTGTAGGGAAAGATGAGAGCTAGAAAAAAGGTGTCTATGAAAATCTCATTATCTTCGTTGGATTTCGAGAAATCGGCGAGAAACTGGCCTCGGAAAAATGCACTTATCCTACTTCACGAATTTGCAACAGAATTGTTATTTCTATTTACAATAGACTCACCAATGCACGAATCATTGTATTTCGAAGGCTGGAGGTATCGGTATTTCGATGTAGTTACTTGAAATTGATGAAGCAGTTGGAGAACAGGACAACGAGTAAGCAGAAATTGCGAAACGATCTGGTGTATGTACCTGACAATGTACGAGGACCTCCACTCTGAACTAACTCCCACTTGAAGCCCCCACTTGGCGAAAGTACAGATCACGATAAATTGTTCGATATTTACGTTTGTCTGCCGAAAATAATCAGGGCAGAATAAGAATACTAATTCTTATCTCCAGCAAGACAACTGAGAAAATTTACTATTTTGCGGACATAGTACATCTTTTTATAATATTAATATTAATATTCTTTCAATTCGTCAATAATTTGATTTATGGCAATCGTGAAAATGGAAAGTTATATTAATTGTCAGTTCAAGTGGTTATAATATTTCTACATCATTCTTGGTAATTTCGAATGAGAAATGACATTTGGTATAATTGGAACATTAGTTTCATCACGAGCAATGAGAAAATCAACATCTCTAATATTATTCATTGGCTGTGGTATTTCTTCGACCTTGACCCATATGGGGACACGCAATCTGGGTTTTATAGCTGGTTGTTTAACACTTTTAAACTACTATTAACAATGCCACCGACATTGATGCTCGAAAATTGAAGAATTATATTGATTCTATGGGTATATAACACATACGTCGTAAAAGTAAAAGTGGAAAGTTGGGAAGAAAAATGGTAATAACGAGAACGAATGGCGACAGAACAAGGATGAAACTCACGCCAAGAAGAAGCCACCAAATGGGTGATAGACCAAGAATTGGAGAGATCATGTTTGTTTATAAAAATTGAGTCAATTCGTGGTCTTTCTTACTGGCCATATAGAGACATCCGAATAATTGACATGTGCGGATGTATTGTTCCTCTATTTATTTTCAGTTACGAAAATTCATGAATTCAAATCTGAAAGCAAAGAGGAAAACGAGATTATTTACAAATTGGAATTTTTTAAACCGCACCTATCGACAATTTTAACCATAATGTTTGATACAGCTGAAAGTGTGCAAGATGTAGTCGTCCTTGTAACATATCGTAGCAATGTCTGACGAAAGGGAGAATGAAGCCATTGTCGGTTGAGTATTAACTGGAAGTGCGTACAGATGTTTGAGATTTTCAGAATAATCAACATTTTATTGAGACCACGGTAATTGCGGTGGAATCAATCACATAACACGATTACTTCTCTGTTACGTTTTAAATGGTACTCCATAATCATACATAATAGTATATACCAAGCAATACATAATATATAATAACACACACAATGTTATTGTTAAAGCCAGCGTAATACGCCTGAACTCATTCTTCGCGAATTCAAAAACAATAAACTTTCTAAGAAATAAATTAAAAATATTATGTTATATACCTCAATTCATTGAATTGCATCGTTCTGCCGCAATATCATCTTCCCAATTTTGTGAACAATTTTTAGATACTATTTTCATTTAGTTTCCATCGATTGTCATTTGGAATTATCACTGGTGAAATTTAAAACTATTCAGAGGGATATTGCTGCACTTTTTTCTGGTAATAAATCCTTCAGGATAATCATTTTTAGGCAGAAAATTATGTGAACACTCGGTTGAAAAAAAAATAAATAAGCGTGATTTAACGCTGACGGCACGGTTATACTAGCTTATCTCGAACTTTGAGCAGTTCGTGTAGTACTTTCCCTTTCTTTCGTGGTTGGACTGTGACTCAAGAACTGATCAACGAATCCGTGATTGGAGTATACGGACCGGTCAGTAATACTTGTATACCTTTTTCGTGTTTTATCATTCTACTTGTACTCTGTGTTGGGTTTATCAATTCGTTAATATCGACACAGCGTTTAGCGCATTCTATTTCTTAATGAAAATCGGTAGTATAAGTGTCTGATAAGTGAGGAATTGCGCAAGCTTCCTCTTCCTCTTTCTTCCCTCCTTCGAGTAAGTGTTCATGACACTTTTCGTTTCCACAATTTTAGTTTTTACACCTTCAGTTTATAAATCTGTAGTTTTTCTGGAATAAATTGAATAATTTGAATTACGTGCTGATTAAAATGATTAATTATTGAATGTACTTTAGAGGATAATTGACGTGATAATCATTAATGATAATTATTGAAAAATTGAGTCGAGGTTATAATCAAATTAACCATTCATAGAATTATATGAATTTCTAGATTAGTATGATTATAAAATAAGATTTTTATGGGAATGTATACTTTACTCATTCTCAAGTCTATTTATTCTGGCCACTTCTATTACTGAGCTTAATAAGATATTGCTATCGCCATTTTATGCGTGTGATATTTTGATTTTGTGTTACTATTACCACATGCTATTTTTAATTATATTATTTTTACACTGTGGTATTTTTATTGTGATGTTTTTCAGTGTAACATCGTTATTATTGTACGCTAATTACGAGCGTAGGGATTATTTGTTTGTCCGCTGTCATTCTTCAGGGGAGTTTGAACGAATCAAATATCGGAGGAAAGTGACGAGAGTCATGATAAATAAACTTGCATCGCCATCAGTTCGAGGAAACCGCAACCTAAAGCTATCGTTGATAAGGAATCCATGGCGATAATTAATTTTTTCTAGATCATTTTGTCCCTCCTCTCCGTATCTATTCTGAATGCTTATGATGGCCTTGCTGATCGCAGTCTTCAGGGGCCGGGTTTTTTTTTCAAACGATTTTTTGATTTTATACAGCCACGATCGTGATAATGAATTAAATGAAATCGGTAACTTTGTTATTAACGTGATGAACACTTTTGGGAAAAATGTTGCGAGTATTGAGACTTTTTTATGAT